CGTTTATGGTCTGCACTTAAAATTAACTTAAGACGCTTTGTTGCAGGACCCTGTATATTTTTTACTGTGGTTATCAACACTGTCTATGCCAATGAGACAAAAAGCCTATGTCGAAATACAGGGCGACCCGGTATATTAAAAAGACCTAATATAAATTTTTCTGTTTGCGATTTTCACCCCAATTTTTTTTACAAATGTGGCCAATAGTAGCGCACACGTTGAAAATATTTTTACACGTGTACAGGGTGATACAAAAATAATTTTGTACTAATGTTGTAGTTTGCCCTTTAAAAAACTAAAAAAAATTATCTATAATAATTTATAGAGCTCATACTTTTTGTACCATTTTTGTTTAAGATTTTACTATTAATTTAAACTGAGTTATTTTTTAGACTTTATATCATTGAATAAGATTGGATAATAAAGTTAAAAATTATTTTTGACTTCTGTTAGATTTGATATAGAAGCACGACATAGACTTTCAGACATTTTTAAAACTTGTATTGTCCAATTTTCTAAATAAAATAAATACATATAGTTTTGAAAAAGACACTATATACTTCTATTTGAAAAACATAAAATAATAGTGATGTTATTTAAAATTTGAAAATTTCTATAGTAAATCTACCGAGCAAACGAAATATAAACCTCCCCATTTAAAAAACTGCAACATTAAGTGTAAAATTATAGTAGAATCACCGTGTAATCTCTACCAAACCAAAAGTATATATATATATATATTAAAGCAGTTGAAAATGAGAAAAAAGGATGTTAACTTGATTTGAAGATTTTTCGGTATACTGGGTCACCCTGTATACAGTATATGTAAATTATCTTATAAAATAAAAAAAAATATATTACAATTATTTAATAAAAGAAAAAAATATATAAGATCCAACTGATAGTTGTTGGAGGTTTTAAAAAGATTTTTTAGAAAATATAGGCAACCAACAAATCATCTTAACTTACAAAAACCCGAAAAAAAAATTAAAAGTTTGATAACCACAGCAAGTAGTACACAATAATATTTATAATTATTTATAATCAATATTAGGTGTATTCAATCAAATTCGGGAGTGTTTTATCTTTTTTTCTTTTAGCACAATCAAAAACATCTAAAATATAGAGCAACAAAACCAATAATATTATAATTTAACAATTACCTTACTCTGCAAATTAAATTATGCGACAGTTAAGTTTTACATAAATACAGAACAATTAGAAACAACTGCAAAACAACAATTAGATGTACATATAGCATCCATATATTTATTAACAAAATATAATTTTATATTAATTATACTATACTTTATAAAACACTAAATCACCACAATACACCAAAACGCTTTTACTTTTACACTGGACGCGCGTTTCGTTAACCATGTTAGCATTATCAGCAGATAATTATTTATTATTAGTCCAGTGTAAAAGTAAAAGTGTTTTGGTGTATTGTGGTGATTTAGTGTTTTATTTTGCTGTGAAACACCAAAGGTTCAAACCCTCAACTGTAATCTATACTTTATATTAGATGAAAAAATCAATAAATATATATTTTTTATTAACTCTGTTTTTTATTGTTATTCTAATGAGGTAATTTTCAATATTTTACAACGATCTAAATGTTGTTTTAAGAAACAAGGTAAGTAACAATAGTAACTAATACTACTATACTAATAAGCTAAAAATATTAAGTACCTAAAGAAAAATGCATTAGCGAAAAAAAATTACTCTAAACTGAAATAAGAATGATTATAATATTTAAATAATTAACGTTAAATCAACAAAATGAAATATTCAATTAAAAAAAAATAATGATTGAATTTTTATCCGACTTTATATTTAAGAAGCGTTTGCAAATAACTTTAACGTCAAACACAAAGGTTTTAAGTTGAAATATCACACAAAATATTAAAAAAGAAATGCTATAATAAACAGATGGTGCCCCATGTACTTCTAGTTAATTAACTACAAAACTTCAGATAAGAAGAGTGAATATGAAATAAATGCGATAATAAATGTTATTTAAAAAAACAACTGGTTAAAATGTTAAAATAAATTAGTTTCGCTCATTTTATATTATGGCGAATGCGCTAGGCGATCCTAGAATACATTTAGATACAATATGAAAATACACCGTCTCTAAAAAATAAAAGAATGTGTAATATATTTTTGATATAAAAAATGTTTATTTACTTTACTATACAGGGTGTCCCGTTTTAAAAACATACATTTCATACCAATAACATTAACAAAATTGACACTTCCAACATTTTTACACTGTTAAAATTAAAAAGCATGTGTGATAATCTTTGAAATCAGAAAAAATGTGCTATTTAATACACTCCTAATATACAGGGTGTCTTATTTAAACATTAAACATGTTTATACCAATAACTGTAACAATTGAGAGCTTATGACATTTTTGCTAATTTAAAATTAAAACTTGACCAAAAACTTTTTATTTTTTATTTATTTATCAATATTCTACCTCAAAAAATAGAAAAAAGTATAAATAAGTAGTATAATGTTTGTTTAAAATTAGGACAAACAGCAATGTTATATGTAAAAAAATAAAATAAAGTTGTTAAGTTAATTTGTATTATGTTATGACAGATGCGCTAGATTTTAGAATATGCAATAAAAATCGGTATTAGCGATTGTTTCATGACACACCCTGTATAAAAAGTCTTTGTTGAATGAAATGCGCAACTAAAAATGTCAGTCTACGTAAGCCTTTTTGACAACATATTATTCCTATTTATTTATTATCGAATTTGTTCCATTTCGCTGTATTACAATTATTACATTATTATTACAAATACATACAAAATGGCTTAAGTTATATAGTCTGTCCAACGAGCCGAAGAAGATTTTGACAGAAGATATCCTTAAAAATGACAGCAAATTCAATTTACCTGTTAATTAAAATGACAAACACAACTGTCACTGTCATGGATCCTCTCGTTGGATAGACTATCTTACAATGATATTATAAAACAATGCAAAATAGTAGGTATATATCGATTTATTAGGAGTAAAAATGATACTTTTTGTGGCAAGGCTGTACGTTCGATCGCGAGTGAATTTATTTCGGGAGACGAAAATTCAATTTTATCGTCGTGTATAAAACAATATTTTTTTCCATAGCGAGTTACGTTTTAAAAAATATTCAGAAATTATTATTTCAAGGAATTTATTACGAGTAGAAAAAATATTGTGCTGGGTTGGCGTTGGTTTCTATGTAGTTCGACAAATAAATAAAGCTGTCTCTTTAGTTGTCAGTTTTGAGTCAATATTATTTTAATTCTCTTTCGTGTCGACTGCTGATTAAATTGGAGTCAGAAATGGCTCAAAACGAAATAAGTAAATTACCAACAGATATTCAGGCTGAGGCGACAAACGCCATGTCCAAACTACTTCCATTTAAATCCCGAATAACTTGAAAATGAAAGGAATACAAAAATTTATTAATTGGAAGCAATTAAAAAACGTGCGAGAAGAAATAAAGTTTTTAACCTATCCTCGCTGTTAAAGTATCATTTAATCTACCCTTGCGGTTAAAGTTCTATTTTATCTACTATTTTTGAGTACTACTATTTATACATATACATAAGGCAATTTTAACAGTTGCTATGAAAAAAAAAAGTAATTATATATCGAGAAACTACGATTACGCTCGTTAAATTTGACATAGTTTCACACATGTCAGTTTAATAATATATTTTTTCGTACTTTATGGCCTAGGCGTTAAAATTATTTTTTTATATCGTCAATCACGTAGCAAAAATTTATACTTTGTGGCGTTTGAAAAAAAAATTATATTATAATCATGAAAACTGACCAATCACGAAAAAAACATCTGTCTCTAGGCCAGTGGCGCATCTAGAGATTGGGTCTGGGAGGGGTAATGGCAATATTTAAGTAAAACTAATTCGAATTAAATTTTTGCTAAAAAAAATTTTTGTAACTGTGAAAAAAAAAATGGAATTGTAACTATTTTTATTTTATTTCTAAATTTCTTTCTGGGAAGGGTAATTACCCCCCCCCCCTTTTCACTCTCGTATGCACGCCGCTGTCCTGGGGTATCAAAAATAATTCACAAAAGCAAAAAAAAATATATGAACACAAGAATTAACAAAATCGATTATTTTACTAAAAATAACCCTCTCAGAACTTATAAAAAATGATTAAATCAACCATTAAACTATTAAATTATCATCTGATCGTAGATATAGTTAGATAAATTTCATAAAATTTAGTTTGTGTTAATACAATAAATAAAATATTAAAAAATATAAACTTTAAAACTAAAATAATACTCGTGTTCATAGAGCTATAGTGACGCAGCTGCGCAAGTATAACATTTATAATTTTGATAATCTGGAATAAATTTAGAAACACTTAAGAAATTATAAATAATACAAGATAAAAATAATTAAAGAACTACTACTATAAATAATTGGTAATGATACAAATTTATAAAGAATGTCTTTAATTCTATTAAAAAAATATTACGTTATAATACAACTAACTATTTAATTAATAATTACAATATCTAATGACCTTTAATGAATGCAAAAATAAAAGATAAATGAGATTGAAAAAACGCTTAAGAGATGAAAAATTATAACAGATTACTATTACATTGCTCAACATATTTTTCATAAAGATTAATGCATAGATTTTAATGATTTAAAATTATTCAAACATGCCTCAAACTAGAGGCAATTAGATAATAAATAGAGCATCAAAATAAATAAATATAAAGGCAATATAAACAGAGATAATGGCCCTATTCATAAAATAAAGTATTGTTCTTAACTAATGTTTTATTTTGCAAAAGCTTAAGAAAAAAAAAAAGATTTCTGTCCAGATTATCAAAATTTTACAAAAAATTAACATTAAAATGACGCCTGATATAATTATATAGTAAGAGGATAAAAACCAATAAACAAATTTATTGAAACAATAACACTATTAATGAAGCTAACGACCTTGGTGAGACATTGAGGAGTATTGAGTCTGCTTCATGTTGAGTGAAAGAGGAAAGCAAGGAGTAGGAGCAACTGTTGATATCCATAGTTAAGAAAATGCGGAGATATCTAAAAAATAAAAAAAATAATATTAAAAAAAAAGGAATATATACATACAATCTATGTAAAAATTAAAATAAATATATTTTTATTAATGCAATAACTATGTTTTTTAAATTATTAATTTGTATATACCCTATGAGAAAAAAACAGCATCAGAGTGGCTTTTAAAATAACAATTGATGACAATTATTTCTGCCAGGTAGACCACAATATAATCATTTATAAAAAATTGGTATAAAAACAAAGAATAAAAAGTTAAAAACATTCCAAGTTCATATTTTTTTAAGTTAAGATTTTGAATAATAATTGGTATGTTTAAAAACTTTTTCCTTTTTTTCATTGAAAAATTATTTTTGACAAGTTTTTATATCAATTTGCACATTGATTTGTCAAAGCCTAAAAAGTATAAATATGTAAACGAATTCAAAAACTACGTCCTTCCTTAAATTAATAATTTATATATACTCTGAGAAAAAAAATCAGCATCACCAGTGGCCTTTGAAATGACAAATGATAACAATTTCTACCAGGTAGGCCACGATATATCATGCAGAAAAAATTTACATAAAAACTTATCAAAAATTAAAGGATAAAAAAATTAAAATCAAGCAAAGTTCATATTTTTTTATGAAAACCTTTGAACAATAATCGGTATGTTTGAAAACTTTTTATTTTGTGACATTTAAATAATACTTTTGACAAATTTTTATATCAATTTTTAATAAATGACATATAGGAATAGACAGTGACCTCATAGACTTGTGCAGCTTGAATATTATGAAAACTTATCATAATTTTGAAGCTTGTCAATGAAATTTAGTAAGAAAAAAGAGATAAATAACTTACCAGTGATGAAGGACTGCGACCATACTAACAGCTATTAAGTACAGTCCTAAATAGTCTTTCTGAGTCTTTTCCTGCAAGTTTCATTGCATTTAAAGCTTTTTGATGTCCACCATAATATTTGCAGATAGTACGGCTTGTGGATTTTTAATAGCTATTGTCCCATCTTATACCTAAGATTCCAAAAAAATATTAAGTAAATTTTTACTATACTAATTTTTGAAGATTTTTGAAAACAAGATTAATAAAAAACAAAACAAAAATTAATCAAAATTATATTTATGGTGTTTATTCTAGTGAGAACTTTAATATATCGTCAAGGTGTGTGTGACGAGTTCTGTAATTTCAAACCAAACAGTTTTGAATAGCGAATGTTGACAATTTGGCGAAGGATTTTTTTAAATAGTTAATTGTGTGTTGTAATCAGTATAAAAAAATTGAAAGAAAATAAATCCCTTAAGTATTTTATCGCGAGTTTAAATTAGCGGACCCAGAGAATCCGTAACAATATGCAACCAGTAATACAGTATCAGCATTTTATTTTGTCCCGCCTATTTTTAATAGTTGTTGGCTGTTCTAATATTGGAACAAAAGCGCTCGAATATTAAAAAGTTTTAAAAGTTGTCAAGCTGTCCAATGAAATTTTATAAGATAGATAAATAACTTACCATTGATAAAGAACTGGATCCGCTCTAACAGCTATTAAGTAACAGCAGTTCATACCTAATTAAAAAATATATATCAGGTAATTTTTTATTATGGAAATTTTTGAAGCTATCAGAAAACAGTCAATAACATAAATTATCTTAATATTTGGAACTATCTAAAATAACAAATAAATAATACTCATTTTGTTAATATTAATTTGAATAAGTTATAAAGAGTTATATAAAATTAAAAGAAAGACTTTTATTGATAACTTCAGAAATAATATAAAAATTTTAAATTTCCTTGATATGAAAGTTAATTCCTTGATATGAAAGATTATTATAACGAGTTATTAATGACCAAAAAAAAAAATTAAATGTCTAATTTACTAGATATATATACAGGGTGGTCCGAATTGTATTCTGGAAACTTCGACAGCATATTCTGCAGATAAAAATAAGTAAAAAAAATCGTATAAATATATGTCCCAAAATGCTTAGTTTCGGAGATACAGGGTGTAGAAGTTTCATTTTTATTTCGATTTTTTCCAAATAATTTCTGAAGTGACGTCAATATTTGGATGAAAATTGGTATCTGGGAGTATTGTGACACGAGAAATTTGATTTTGATGTCAAAATTACTCCTATTTGTCGGGGGCGCCACCTACATGTGTTTAAACTATTTTGTAGAGTAATAACTTTTCGACCGTACCTGTATAAAACCACTGATTAAAAAAATATATATTTTCATGACTTTTTATGTAAAAAATGTCTTTTTTGGTAAAAAATCGCTACGAGCAACCAAACCTTTGAATAAGAAGACTAAGGAAGGAGCATAATGCTATCCATGTATTCATGCATGGTGGGCGGAAAAGCGCAATAAAAGCTCTCTAGTGTGGGGATCCTTGACAGTTCTGTGTTTGACGATTCATTTGACACATTTGAATTTGATTTGAAATTTTGTGGATTTGTCAGTCTTTACGAGCTTATTTTATGTTATTTATTATTTATTCTACTACTGATAGTTGTATAAAGGTAGTAAATCTAGATGGAAATTGTGGCAGAACTTAAATTAACAGTGACACTATCGCGATTTATCGAAAAGACTCTAAAATAGTTGGTTGTGTAGCGTGCGGTAGATCTCGGCAAAAATTGAGTGAAATAATGGAACAACTTTTCGCTAGTAAGTGACTATATAATATACATACGTGTAGTAAACCGATCATTTATGAAATTCACTTAAATTAACTAAATTATATATATTTCTTGCATTTTAGCTTTTATTTATTACTTGTCAAAGATTAGATGTCAAAGAATTTAGATACGTTAATTTGACTTACCTACCTGCTTCAGTAGCGTATCGGATGTTTGTGGTAATAAATACTTATTATAACTTATCTATTTTTATTAGAATTATATATTTTTATAACAATTTTAATAACTACCAACATTTATTCACAACATAAAATAAAACAACAAATTATTGAGTCTACCCCACGTCTATCCTACATCATAGTTTTACATTTCTTAAATAAAATTAGAACGACACTGATAAACCGGAATTTAAATCGGCCATATTTGAGGCCCATCGCGGTGTACCTAAGATTTTTGATATGCTCCTTCCTTAGTCTTCTTATTCAAAGAACCAAACCAAACCACAAGATATTTAGAATGGAAATAGTCAATACATGTCATTATTGACAAAAAATAAGCACACGTTGAGTATAGTTATTTGACTGAAATAATAAATTTTTAATATAATTTTTTCTGCGAAAAAATAATGATAAAACAGTTTCTGTTGAACTTTTGGCACAAATTTATGATTTCAGTCTAATAACCGTTAGTCAACAATTTTTGTCAATGATGATAGGTTTGGATAATTTCGATTCCAAATATCTCGAGAACCATTACTTGTAGCGATTTTTACGAAGAGTCATTTTATAGGTAAAAAACGACGTAAATTTATATTTTTTTGCTCACTAATTTTATACAGGTACGGACAAAAAGTTATTACTCTTCAAACCAGTTAAAAAATATGTAAGTGGCGGCCTCTACAAGTAGGAGTCATATTAACATCAAAATCAAATTTCTCATGTCAAAAAACTCCCAGACACCAATTTTCATCCAAATATTACGTTACTTCATAAATTATTTAGAAAAAATCGAAATAAATATGAAACTTGTACACCCTGTATCTCCGAAACTAAGCATTTTAGGATATACATTTATAAGAACTTTTTTACCTATTTTTATCTGCAGAATACGCTGACGAAGTTTCCGGAATACAGTTCGGACCACCCTGTATATAAAAAAATTTTTACATTTATTTTGGTGGTAACTTTAGTATTTAAAAAAATGCTATGCAACCAGTAATACACTCTTAGCATTGTTCAATTAACTTTTTCATTTTTTTGAGCTAGAACATTCATTAAAAAACAAATTATAGGGTTTCCTGTCAAGTTTTAATACATTTTATTGTTATTATGTATGTTTATTTAAAAAAATAGATAAAAATAATATACAAAAAAAAATAATTAAAACTTGAGTTAAAACCTTCTAATTTCTTTTTTTTCGATGAAAATTCTAGCTTCCAAAATAAAAAAAAGTTAAAATCTGTTAAAATATAGGGCAAAATAAAAATAGAGCATGTATTATATTGGACCAAAAGAGCTTGAATACGATGGAAAATTTAATATTTTTATAAGATTTTTAAATTTTACAAGAATAAGTTGAGAGGCATAACTTACCATTATTAAAAGGCAACAGGTGTTGAAGTCAATCCAGTAAATTACATTTTTCTGTGTCCTTTAAAGATTTTCCATTAAAACTGGAACTTGGACGGGAAACAGCTGTCAAAACGTCCATTAATATCAATTTGTATTGCCTTTTAAAAATACAAAAAATAAATAAGTAAATTTTTATAAAGTCAGTTTCTTCACACATTTTGAAATAAAAAAAATGTTTTTTTTTAATATGTTAAGTAGATATTAAAAAAATAAACGCAATAGTAACTCTTTAAAATATTGTCAAATATTCATAGATTTTTACAAAAAGAAAACATACTAAATAAAATTAAAATTGTCTGATACAAATTTGTAAATAACTACAAAGATTGAAAAAAATATATTAATATATTTTCAATCTCAAACTTATTTTATTTTGAATATGAAGCCTACAATTTTGTAGTTAACTACAAAAAAAATGTAGCCTTAAAAAAATAATAAAAAAATAAAATAACTTACCATTTTCATAGGGGCAATGGTAATGAAGGCCAATCAATCTAAGTACTATTGATTGTATCTTGAAATTGTCATTTATGGGTGATTTTCAGTATCATTTTATTCAAAAATTCCTCCGGCATTCATCAAACTTATGTACAGTTCTAACTCATTTGCAGATTTGTAACAGCAACTGTTAACGCCCAGTACATCACTCAAACAGATATCTAAAACAAAAAATAAAACAAATATTAATAAGTATATTAATTTGTATCAATGTAGAAAATTAAAATAAATAAGAAAACATTGTAATATCAATATAGATAGGCAAAATACAAAATTAAGTTGATTTGAATAAAAAAAAATTTCCTAATAAATTTAAAATTAAATATTGCACCTAAAGTTATTTAAATATACACATTATATGTGTAAAATATGTCATAACTTCAAGCTTTCCAAAACTTTAATAGGAAAGAAAATAATGTGAAAAAAACTTACCATTTTGAGAGATATCTGCGTTGTTGAAGTCAATTTAATGTCCTGTATCTACTGTAGAATAAATTGGCCATTTGTGAGCCTTTTCCCAGTTTAAATTATGTCAAAACTTCTTTGATGTTTCTAATAATTCATCCAAGTTGTTATAACAGCTGCCATTCTACATTTACACCAATAGATATGCTTGTATAATACATAAATAAATAAAACTTGATGTCCAAGATACCAATAACATCTATAAAAAAAATAAACGTTGTGATAAGTATTTATTTTTTGTAACTAGATGAAAAAAATTACCTTAATACAGTTGCTCCAAATTTCCTTCAAAAAACTTCCGTTGCAGCCAACAAAATCCTTCTTCTTTCCTCAAACATCTTCTATCTCCTTTCCTTCTATTTCAAAGCAATCCTCTTCCATCTTCTCTGGCCTCTTCTATTTTCCAAGTCTCACCAACTCTTATTCAACTACTTATATAACTAACTTATACAAATTTCAGGCGTCTTACAAACATTTTTTAAAAAGGAGGAAAAGGGATATAATGCTACAACAAACGACTACGCTAGCGCACCTACCTAAAAAAAAAACTTTTTAGTCAAAGAAAATGATAAATATAAAGTTATATAATTTACCTGATGGCATCTAGAAGATGGCCCCTAATCCTGCTGTTGTCCCCCAAAAAATCATTCCAAAGCAGTTTACTACTAAAAAGATTTATGCAGGAACAAACTGAATTTAATTTTAGTAACAAAAATAAATTACTAATACTTTAATTCTCATTATAATGTAAAATTACTTTATTTACTAATTTACGTTTAATTAAAAATCACTATTAAAAAAATTAAATAATATTATGAATTTTAAAATAAGACGAAAAATAGTTATTTCCAAATATATAATAGAAAAACAATATGCTACCTAATTTTGTCTCTTTCGAGTTATTTTTTTATTACCATTATTGCTAAAAAACTTTATATTAAGGCCTTGTATAGAGTAAGAAAAAAGTAAAAATGAAATATAAAAATTGCAAATTAAAAAATGAGTACTTAATGCAACATTCTGTAAATGTAGGGAACCTAAAGTTACTGCTTTGGAACCACAACGCGAACCGACTTTTGAAGTTCTCCAAGCCATACTGTATCACCTGTAAGAGAAAAAATTATATTAGAATATTTCAAACAAATACATATGCTAGAAAAAAAACAACAAGCTATAGACAACAAAAAAAAACAATGTAAAAATATTAAAACTCACCATCACATCTTGCTTAAGTTCATTTTCAGTCCCATCATAATAATTATACGGCGAAAAAAACAGTGGCGTCTCACTGCTATGGGGCACATCGAATGCCCCCAACTCCATGGACTTCGGTCGATCCTGTAGAGTTGAAAATAAACACGTTTTCCAGGTATTCGACGGTGCCTGGAACAATCCGAATTTTTTTGGGACTGATCATATGCAGCATGTAGATAGAATTTCTGACTTCTTCAATCTTGTTTTTTAAAATCACGCTGCGAACCCGGGTTGTCCTAAAACAATGAAAAAAAAAAGTTATATAAGTAACTACGTTTAATTAGAATTATTATTATATCTACTATAAGTTTTAAAAAAGTTGCTCTAATTACTATACTATACTATAATTTAAATTGAAGCTCATGTATGTTGTAACAAAAAAACTAAAATATACAACACTTATATATAAAACGAATTTTGACTGCTATATGGTGCAATAAAAAAGTTATTTGGTAGAGAGTACAGTAAAAGTTTACAATTTAAAGAAAGTAAGATAAAAAAATCAGACTTACTTTTAACAGGTTTAAGTTAGGCTTGGTTATGCTCGCCTCCTACCGACATTTTCTGCCTTCAAAATTCGACGCGGGGCAGACCAAGAGAAAAAACAAAAAAATGTTTCCACGACCCGCCTGCGAGTGTGTGCTGGTTGCCTTCCTTATGCAGATTCGACCCATTGGTCGACGATTAAGCCTCACCAGTCAGTTCCCATCCCAATTGCCGCCTCGTCTGGGGTCACCCCCGTCACCCGTCGGACGGACATCCACCGGGACCCCCTACAGGCGGACCCCTCATCATCTTCAGTGTCCGATATCCGCCCCCTGCCTCTTCGAGGGTCACGAAATACGTGCACGAAGAAGTCTCGGAGCTTGGGTGCCAGGTTGTATCCGGCCGAAGCCTCTAGCATTAGAACACCTAGCTCTGTAAACCAGAGGGTGGTGACTCCTTGGGTACCTCTGCATGCTACACAGGTCATCGATGCCCGAACATCAGGGTTAGGGGGTGACCCAAGAAGTCTCCTCTCTGGGGAAGGCCGCGCCGCTCTGAGTCATCTTAAGCCGGGGATCCACACCGACAAAAACACTGTTAACCAACTGCATCAGCTAACGAAATTCACTAATGTTGAATTAGGAAATTTTATTAACCAACACAGAGAGCTAGCAATGCTCGTGTGAGTGGGATAGGAGTGTGTGGTGTTGTAGTATTAATATAACGCGCCTAAAAAAGAAAAATATTGGGATACCTATAAAAATATTATCGAACACCTATAAAAATTTTACGACAATATATAAATAGGTATATTTATTTTAAATGAAAAAAGAGATGCTCCATTTATACCTCAGCAATATTTTATAAGATATTTCTTTGATTACTATACCAAATATGTCAAAAATATAAAGATGTTATATGATCTAGGGAAAAAAGGGATATAAATTTGATGAATATGGTCAAAATCCAAAGAATTTTTCCATGATGTAACACATAAAAAAATAAAAATACACAAGGAGTTTTTAGAGTTGTAACATATTATTTAGAGCTAAAAGTTAAACCTACAGTGTTTCAAATAAATAAAAAATATTAAAGTTATATTTTTTTTAACAATGAGACATCCTATATATTTTATTACATTTTTAATTTCTACTATGAAGACAAATAACATTCGATCAAAGTTTACCTCAAAATAATCATATTTACTGTTTTCGAAATATTTTAATTTTTATAAAAATTCAGTAACAATTGATTTATTTCTGCAATGCAAATTTACAACTAATACTGAATTAGCAAAAATCATTTGTCAACATTAATACTATTTTTTAACATGTAATATTACATAATTAACGCGCTTTAAAAGAGAAATATATTTTAAAATACCAATATCAGAAATCATTACCTACAAAAATGCTGAAACATAAATATGTAAGATTCTTAAATAAAAAAAAATACGTAATAAAATTCCTAATGAACCTACCTATTTAAAACTTAAATACAAAAAACCTACTCATTCAAAATATTATTAAAATGCGCATATTATATTTTTAAAAAATAAAGAAAACTCTAAGTATGCCCTATAAAAAGAAATTTAAAATAAAAATAGCAATTTACAAAAAATCAAGACATCGAATTCCAACAGGCGGCCATTTTATTTAAACATTCCTTGATCGAAAAAATTAAACAAAAAGTCAAAGATACATTACGTAATTTACCAAAAATGTAGTACTATTATTTCACCCTTATGTAACACGCAGTATAGAAAGTACCAAAAATACATAGTTAATTTACATACTTATTTATTAATCTACGTATATTATTTAAACAATATTCTTAAAAATTAATAACTTAATGGGGAATATTGAGAAGAAGGCTGCCATGATGGATATTGCAAAATCAAAAAATTTTAAACTAAAATATCTAAAAAAATACATAAAATTACGGGTACTCACTTTTTCAGGAGGCTAAGCAGGGCACTAGTAACGATTACGCATAAATTGTGTACACTAAATGCACTTTTTCGTCAGAAAATTTAAAAAATCGATGCAACCGACGGGAGGACGTGCGGATCCTTCGATTGCAAACGACTCAAACGACTAGCAGGACCGGCGTTGCCAGATTGAAGTCATTCGTAAAATTTAAGCTGCTCATAAAATTAATTTATTACTAATAATAATATGTAATATTATTTATAGGAAAATTCTTGTAAATTAAGCTTAATTTTGTTCTCAAAAGTTATTATTTACTCAATACGTTCCACTGAAATCGTTTTTTTAAGTAAGGCAAAATATTTTTATTGTCATAACTTATCATAAGTAAGAAACAAATAAGTAATTATAAACATAAACATACAAAAATCATGAAATAAACATAAAATGAAGCTGTTTAAATAATTTTTAATACTATAAATAAAATACATCGAAACCAAGAATAAAGACTATAAGCTTAGTACGTAATTACAAGAAGAAATAAAAAAAAATGTCTACAAAACAACATTACTGGTATTTGTTTTACTAAAAATATAAATATAGAAATAACCCTTACTATAGTGCCAGTTTATGGTGCCAGTGATCAATTTAAACTAATATATTTTCACAAAAATAGAGAAAAAGATTTTCGACATTTTATAACAATCCGGCAACATTGAACGATAATAAAATTCAAAACCTCCAGGCAACCGAAACTGACCAATCACGATCGAGAATTTTTTGCTCTTGGATGCCTCGATTTTAACTTTTTTTAATAAACATGGATGGTTTTTATTAAAATTTCAGTAGAATATGCTTCTTAAATTAATGAAATGATTTGTCTTTATTTGTATTTATTCCCTCCAGTATAAAATATGATACAAAACTTATTTTATATTGAAATTATCTGGTACGCACATAATTAGATGAACTATAAAATCATGCATTTCTTTAATATTTTAATAAATTATTAAGAAACAAGTGTTTTTATTCAATAAATATCCCTTAGTTTAATAAGAAAATAATTCTACAGAGTTAAATAGTAAGAAATATGAGCTAAATTATATGAATTATATAAAAAAATAACTTCAAAAGTCTTTAACTTGACTCGATGTTGACAGCTCTTACCGGATGTATCTGTTGACGACTTTTGACGCCACATTTTTCAAATTTGAAATTTAATTAAGCTGAAAAATCCTTTATTTACAAGAAAAAATATATTAATAAGTACAAATTATGATCGAAAAAACGGCGTCCAGTTGGCTGGGAAATGACAATTGAGTACATTTCCCATAAATTTACATATAAAACGACAGCGATCTTCATTTCATAGTCATCGCTGACGCTATTTTTTTTCGATCATATAGTACGGTATTATTATATTATTATTTTAATATTTGGCACAACACGTGAACGCTTATTATGTATTTTCATAGTCAATAAAATTAAATAGAAATAAAACTCTAGATTCCTACAATTAATCTAATTGCTTAGATTATTTGTGTTATCATGCTACGTTTAAAAAGTGCTTTATTAAAAATTCGGAAAATTAAAAGGGATATGTGTCCAACATTCCATTAAAACTACGGAGGCCTTAAAATGGCTTTTTAGCCTCCGTAATTAAAACTGTAGAATCAGCTTCAGCAACATTAACAGTTACCTTGTTAAGATTTTTCTATTCTTACACGTAATTTATGCCATTTTTTTAGCATTTTTAGAATGATTTATAAACCATATTTTTCCTAATAGAAGAATGGAAGGATATGCAAGATTAATATATTCTAACATTTATTTTCCAGACAAAGCATAATACAGTATTAAGATTAAGACTTAATTAATGTTAAGAAAGATCTTAATATAAATCACAAACTCACGTCTTAAGTTAGTCTAGTAAACACAGGTATAAAACTAATAAGATCAAAACTCAACCTTCACCATATTGTCAAGGTTTGGCATTATAGGAAACAAGAAATTACAGTAAATTACGAAAAGAATATCAAAGTACACGATATTAAATACTGTAATGTATTTTACGACACAAACCATCTCCCTTATAAAGAGAAAAAGATAAAATATAAAGCTTATTTTAGTCTTATCAACACTCTTCACTCTTCTTCGATAAAATATATGTCTAAAATTGCTATTAATCCACTAACTTGATATTTTTAAGAAATTATGATACAAACATAATCAAAGTAGGTAAAATGTCAAAAAACCTATAAAAAAAGGTAAAAAACCTCTATCTCCCATTGACGTGTGTATTGTTCTATAAGAACTCGTCATGGTAGTACTTCAATACATCAATATATATAATCAAAACTATTGTTGCCTGTAAACAGCAATATAGACTTATAATTCTAATAAGTTTAAAACCATTAAGAAAAAATCCGTAAATGATAATATTTAATTCTAATGTAAATATATAAATAAATGTTATTATTATTACAATTTTATATACTCATAATAAAGACTCATAATACTTTTATTTCACAATTTTCATTATCCTTCTTACCTTAGTTTTGGATATCAAGATAAATCTGAAATTATAAAATTAATTATAGAATTTGTATTTTTATTGATTAATTAACACTCAAAAATTAGAAACTTCTTCTAATTAATCTAAAAAATAAAAAATCGTTAAAAAACGAATTAAGGCGGGCTCTTAATAAGCATATTAATTTTTTTTCTTGACAACCGTTTGATGAACAAGAAAAACTCAAAAGATCAATTTTGTTGAAAAAAGATGGCCAGTCAAGAAAAAATATTTTTCTTTAAAAAGCAGTGGTGTACCATTTATGTTAAACAAAAAATCGATTGTAACTTTAAAAATAAATCCTTTGAATTCAAATATAAACATAAAAAATATTTACAGCAGAAAAGGCGAAGGCGCTGGGTTAAACGTAGTCTCTAGTAAAAACACGGAGGGGCGCTTTGACCCAAAATTTTACAATTAAGTTTCATATCTATCTTAATCTTTGAATAAGAAGACTAAGGAAGGAGCAAAATGCTATCCATGTGTCCATGTATTCATGCATGGTGGGCGGAAAAGCCACCATAAAAGCTCTCTAGGGTTGGGATCATTGACAGTTCTGTTTGACGATTCATTTGACACATTTGAATTTGATTTGAAATTTTGTGGATTTGTCAGTCTTTACGGAGCTTATTTTATGTTATTTATTATTTATTCTACTACTGATAGTTGTATAAAGGTAGTAAATCTAGATGGAAATTGTGGCAGAACTTAAATTAACAGTGACACTATCGCGATTTATCGAAAAAAGACTCTAAAATAGTTGGTTGTGTAGCGTGCGGTAGATCTCGGCAAAAATTGAGTGAAATAATGGAACAACTTTTCGCTAGTAAGTGATTATATAATATACATACGTGTAGTAAACCGATCATTTATGAAATTCACTTAAATTAACTAAATTATATATTTTTCTTGCATTTTAGCTTTTATTTATTACTTGTCAAAGATTAGATGTCAAAGAATTTAGATACGTTAATTTGACTTACCTGCTTCAGTAGCGTATCGGATGTTTGTGTTAATAAATACTTATTATAACTTATCTATTTTTATTAGAATTATATATTTTTATAACAATTTTAATAACTACCAACATTTATTCACAACGTAAAATAAAACAACAAATTATTGAGTCTACCCCACGTCTACCCTACATCATAGTTTTACATTTTTTAAATAAAATTAGAACGACACTGATAAACCGGAATTTAAGTCGGCCATATTTGAGGCCCATCGCGGTGTACCTAAGATTTTTGATATGCTCCTTCCTTAGTCTTCTTAGAGGTAAGGAGAAACAACTCCGTGCATTAGAAAATGGTCAAAAAAAGGGAAGAATTAGGATGGCGCTGCTGTAGCAAAAACCTAAAATTTAAGACATGCGCCGAACATTTTTAGAACAGCTGAATCCTTCTGAATCAGATGATTCACAAAAAGACATAAATATTTGACCTGAATCATATACGTGAAGCCGCGGGTTTCAAAAAAATACAAATTTATTTTCATGTCACATGAAATAAATTACAGATTTTTATTCAGCAGCAATAGACTAGGCCCTTTTTTTATTGTTTCTCAAAGTTATTTCGCAAATGTCATTCAGGACGACGAAAAAATATTCTGATCGTTTTAGCTTAAAATTAATGTTAGTTATAATTAAGAAAAATTTTATTTAAAGTAATAATTGGTGATGGGTTTAAAATAAATATAATGCAGCTTTAAAATAACTACCTACATTTATTTAGTATAAAAGTAAGTCAATATGTGGTATTATTATTGATTATTCAGAAGCAATAGACTGAGCCTCTTTTTTATTGTTTCTCATAAGTTATTTCGTAAATCTCATTCAAGATGAAAAAGCTTTAGTTTAAAATTAATGTTAATTATAATTAGGAAAATTTTATTTAAAGTTTAATTAATGATATGGGATTTAAATAAATATAATGCAGGTCAAAAATAACGTAACACATTTTATTTAGTATAAGAATTAAGCCAATATAATGTAATTTTATACTATACAAGTATTTATTTACGTTTTGCCAACGTAATTGCCATTCATTCAGAATAGTGAATTTTAAATGTTTGATAGTCGGATGGCTTAACTACCTTAATATCAACTACTTCTAGACAAGAATTGTGTGCAGTATTATCTTCTTTTTCACTCCCAGCTATTCCAACATGGCTTGGGGCGTGAAATAATAATATAATTTTATAGCCCTTCCAGATGCTCATGTCTTCCTTGTAGTTCACCCAATAGAACCTTTCTCTTAGCTTCCTCTCAAGTTGGTAGTTGCCATTCATTAAGAATAGTGGATTTTAAACATGTTTCGTACTCGGATGGTTTAACTACTGTAACATCATAAATAAATTGTATAGCAACACATAATGGCCAAACTTCAACAGACTTTAATATTCATAAACCTCATCAGAAGAAAATATTTTTTGATCCAAAGTTTTTTTTTTCGTTATTAGAATAAATTACCTGCAATTTGTTAATTCATTACAACATTGAATAAAAGATGCAAAGTGTTTATACATACTATAATAGATAAATCTTCATTTAAAATTATGTGATAGCTCTGCATGCTTGTAGGATCTAGACTCATAAATTCAATTTCTTTTATTGATATAACCAATAAAGTGGTAATGCTGAAATTTTGTTTTTGATTTGAGCAATAGGGTCCATTATTTCCATTATTTGATGCTGTTATTGCTCTACAAAATGTTGATCTTTATCAAGGGATGTTTATGTGTATAATATTACTATTTATGTGTATAATAATACTGTATGATCGAAAAAACACGGCGTCCAGATGGCTTGGAAATGAACATCTCGATGACATTCTCCATATCATTTTACATATAAAATGATAGCAATTTTCATTTCATAGGCATCGCTGACGCCGTTTTTTTTTCGATCATGCGGTATTGTACTTACGTATATAATATTCATTTAATGGTTCCTGTTTTAGTTGCTGGTGTTCATATTTTGGTTTTTTATTCTGTTGTTGCTCTACAAAATGTTAATATTTATGTGTATAACATTACTCTTTCTGTGTATAATAATACTTATGTGTATAATATTCATTTAATGGTGCCCTTCTTGCTTGTTGCTGTTGTTGCAACTCAGAATTTAAATTAACCTGAGGCAGTAGGTAGAGCCTCATCCTCCAATATTTTCCTATGTAAATACTGCAAGTGGACAGTGGACAATTTTATCATAAACTTTAACATCTTGTTCTTTAAAATGAAACTGCCATACCTTATCTGTAGATTTCAAAGCAATATCTAAATGCTTTTGACCATCGCTGTAATCTAATTCTTGTCTGAAAATCAATACCTAATATTATCCTGATGATTTTGATTTTTGATAGATTATTAAAATACAGCACTTACAGTTAACTATATTTCTTGAAAGTACCTACAATTTTATTTATTTCCTACTTTTACTTCTTTAAAAAAATGCCAACAATTTGTGCATGTCTGTCAAACTTTAAAATCATTAAAAATAAATTTTATTCATTAACTTTAAAAAAAAAGGGATTGTAAAAATATACTTTGTCACATGTATGTCAATAATCTTACGAAAAATGTTTACTACACTTTTGATTGACTCTAATTTTTACATATAATACAAATAATACAATACCGAATTATATTATGTATTTTAGTGGTATTTTACATACCGTAGGCTTCGCCTTTGCTCTTTATTTTTCCATAAGCTATTCAATCAACTTCGCACCACACACACTTTAACCATTGTTAAATAATAAATAAAGCACAAAATATTGATAAACAATAATTATTTTATATTCTAAAAAATAAAAATAAAACTTTTTTTGGGTAATGTTTGGTTATATTTATTTTTATTCTCTTATCTATGGTTACTTTTCATTTTTTAGATTTATGCGTTTTTAGCGCCACTGTGGTCATTTGGTTAAGGGCACTCTTAGTTTTAATTGCCTTAAAAATAATAAGTATAATAATAATTTAAATCTCCCGCTCTTTCATAGTTCGTACCTGTAGCCAAGTAGAGGGCGCTAAAAGCGCAATCTCCCAACATTTTACCACGCGATTCACCACTCTCTAAACTATTAACTTTCTCTATGGGTACTACTGTAAATCTGTGACTGTAAATAGTTATCTCTTGTGGTTATCTCATTGTAAATAAAACCTTATATTCTATAAAAAAAAAGTCCTTTCCTTCGGTATAATTTATAAAACAAGAATAAAAGTATTTATCCACTCTGAGAAAGGTTTTCACTAGAATTTCTTCACATTGATTTGTATTCAATATTTATATTTATACTGCAAGTAGTGCAAGTTATGTTTTCAGCTAAACAATAGGACCTTCTAAACGGACCTGTAAGTCTGTAAGTTAACCCTTAAGGAGAAAACCGATCCCTTCTGCTTCTGATCAAATTTAATAACAATTCTGTCAGTTTGGTAACTTGTTTCTATAATGGTTAATGATGTAAAATTAAGAAAGAAACCCCAAAAATCTGAAAATGATCATAGCAATAAGTCTACACAGGATAAAGATGAAATTAAGCCGTAAATATCTTTCATCATTTAATCGATTTTCTTACATATATACTTTGTAATCTTTGTATTACAGAAAATATGGGCCTATGCCTAGAAATACAACTTTTAGAGTATTAAGTAGAGGCGTTATGATTATTGGAGTAATGGTATATGTTTGGTATTATTCAAATGGCAAAAGGGAGTCTTCTTTAGGTATTTGAGCAACAAGGAGTATTCAAATATATAGGTAGCTATGTTTTACAGCAAAACAAAATACCATATATCAAACTAGAGGTCAGCATGTAGACTGCCATCCAGATTTCATTAATGAAATTAAAGGATTTCCTGGCTGTGTACCTAAGAAATGTGGACGTTTTGTCAGTGACCGAATAGTCACAGAATATGAAGCCGATATTTTGCTTTGGTTTGCTAAGAGAGGTATACAATTAATTAAATTAATACAACCCTACAAATTAAAGGATGTAATACTATAGGAATGGCTTTAACCAATGTTAGTGGTGGAGCAGCAATTATAGACTTACATTCTGGAACCATGTCATATCAGGATAAATTTATGAACTTTTATCGAGCCAATTTATCTTATTTTATAACTCCTACTGATCTTCATACATACAAAGGAGTGAGGTAGGTATAGTAAACAATTAACAAAAAAATATAGTTATAATTCTCATTATGCAGAGAAAAAATTCAGTCAGCTGTGGCAGATTTTTTTGGAATTAATGTTGATAGCTTGTATTTAACGCATCCGACGTTTTTTTCAAGACTATCAAATAAAGAAGCTGTAACTTTGAATGACCAGTATTGGCATATTCATGTTGATAAAGTAAGTTTAGGCATATTTCTATATGCACTGAAGTATATGCACTTACTGTTTATATTGATACAAAACTTATTATTTTATCTTAATATCAATAGCAAACATTTTTTTTTAATAGCAATAATTATAATTTTTTAATGATTATTTTAAGTAATCGTTATTTTTAGTACATTATTATTTGTAGACCTAACACAACCAGTTATTGATTTGGCAATGTTTTTTGACATTTCCGTCAAATTTATTTATCTGAAGCTTTGAATAAGAAGACTAAGGAAGGAGCATAATGCTAATAATGTATTCATGCATGGTGGGCGGAAAAGGCACCATAAAAGCTCTCTAGGGTGGGGTTCATTTGACACATTTGAATTTGATTTGAAATTTTGTGGATTTGTCAGTCTGTATGGAGCTTATTTTATGTTATTTATTATTTATTCTACTACTGATAGTTGTATAAAGGTAGTAAATCTAGATGGAAATTGTGGCAGAACTTAAATTAACAGTGACACTATCGCGATTTATCGAAAAAGACTCTAAAATAGTTGGTTGTGTAGCGTGCGGTAGATCTCGGCAAAAATTGAGTGAAATAATGGAACAACTTTTCTCTAGTAAGTGACTATATAATATACATACGTGTAGTAAACCGATCATTTATGAAATTCACTTAAATTAACTAAATTATATTTTTCTTGCATTTTAGCTTTTATTTATTACTTGTCAAAGATTAGATGTCAAAGAATTTAGATACGTTAATTTGACTTACCTGCTTCAGTAGCGTATCGGATGTTTGTGTTAATAAATACTTATTATAACTTATCTATTTTTATTAGAATTATATATTTTTATAACAATTTTAATAACTACCAACATTTATTCACAACATAAAATAAAACAACAAATTATTGAGTCTACCCCACGTCTACCCTACATCATAGTTTTACATTTTTTAAATAAAATTAGAACGACACTGATAAACCGGAATTTAAGTCGGCCATATTTGAGGCCCATCGCGGTGTACCTAAGATTTTTGATATGCTCCTTCCTTAGTCTTCTTATTCAAAGATCTGAAGCAAAATGTAAACAAATTCATCTGGGTATAGTTCTATATTGGTTCCATAGATAAATGAAACAAGTTTAGATTGGAAAGTGCCCATAAGGACAATGTAAACACTATTTGGCGCTATTCTTGCAATGGTCGCGACCCAAAACTTTTGAAAATTTCTGAGCGGTTCGGCTTTTTCCGGAATTATATCGCCAAATATTGTTTATTCAAATTTATTATTATTTTGGTTTAATTTTATAAATAAAATACAGTGCGTTGCATACAAGAAACTTTATTTTATATAAGGACGCATGTATGAAATACCTATGAAACATTGGAAACCGATGTTATGCCACGATCCACGATGGTTTTTGCAGTTCACAGTTCACAGCACAGCTTTTTAAGTTTTTAATGCCACTTTTTCACAATTATCACCGGTTCGAGTAAATAAAACTTGAATTAAACTCACAAGATAGCAATAATCACTTTGAAAATAGATGCTATAAACACTTTTCGGAATTTCTTTAATGAGAGCGGTTTAGATTTTGAAAGATTATTATGATTTTTGAAGATTCTGACTTTGACAAGAGAAAATTATTTCTGTTTTTGTTTGCCGTTCTTAGCGACCTAAAGTCCCTAGATATATAAAGTACCGCAATTACCGCCATTTTGGCGCCAAAACTAGCGGCAAATTTAAAAAGGAGGCCAACATTTCGCTGTTTCGGCTTTTTAAGCAGCTGGTCGGTCCGGCGCCAATATGGCCGACCAACATTGACAGGCAAGCCGTAAAATAAAATATTTATTAATTGTAATAGAATTACGTTTATTATCTACAGTTTACCTTCATTTTAACGTAATATCAGGTGGTATATTAATATTCAATTTCATAAATTTAATTTTTTAGGCCTATATATGTTAAGAGGTTATAAACGAATGGTTTCCGTACAAGTGTTTTTCATTTGTATTAGCATTTATTTTATGTTACCTTTTAGCGCAAAGTACGCCAACAGAAGTAAGTTAATAGGTAAGAAGAAATAAAGTTGGAATAACATTTAGAATTTTAGTACTTAATTCAGTCGAAACAATTGGAAAAACTTTGTTTGTTGATGAGAACGGGATACCTATACCATAAGTAAACTTTCCCTATTATACCAGTTATGCTGTAGTTAGTTTTGACAAATAAGCATGATTTAACGAAAGTCTTTGGAACTATGAATAAGCTACAAACTTAAATTTGAAGGCCGGCTTTTATACGAGAAAATTTTGAACCATGGTTGAAACAAATAAATGTAATAATTAAATTGATATGATACATACCTGCTATTTTTGAAATATATTAATATATTGATAGAAAGATTGTTTCAGTTAGTATGACTTCAGGTAGTTTCAGCATTTTAGGTATGTAATTGTGCACTTATTTTATAAATAACTTAGAAAGAAGCTTGAAACACATAGGGGCTCTTTATGTGTGCTGTATAATTAAGGTTTGTATGTTATGGAGTCATGTTTATACAACAAATTTATTATTAGTTGAATAAAAGCAAGTTAATACCACATAATTCAATTAAAATATATTTTGCTCTGCAATTTAATGTTATATTTTTAAAACAACAAGTGTCATAGTCATAATGTTTAAGTATCATTATTATAAAAAAGTTATACTGCTATAAATTTAACATTGAAATAACTGTAATTATTGTTATACATAAATTAAGTAGGCATAATTTTACCTCGACAATATGTAAAACTTCAAACGAATCTTAACAATTTTATGCCATGTATAAAAATCAAATTTAAATCACACACTTTTATTTATAACTGACAGTATAAGACCAAATTTTTAAATATAACTTTACATGCTTACATTATATTCTTTACTTTTTATTAGAATTACAATATGAACCAAAAAATATTAATTACTATCAATAAATACATAAAAACTAATCTATTTAAGTCCATGAAAATAACTATATAGTTAGCATATGCATAAACAACATTCTTGTTATTAGGATCAAATTTATTTGAGCTTTTTTTCATTGTTTTGGTTAATATCCCTGTTAGTCCTGACTGGTAAAACCACCTGAAGCGATGTCATACAAATCTGTATATGTATCATAACATAACTTATTCTATTAAGTAATTATCCTGCCTTTGGTCTGATGATAATATATTGTAGATTTATCTAAACTTCTTACTGCAAAATGTTGAAAACTAAACTACACTAAACATTTTAGGGAATGATTACGTAAAGATTTCACTTACACTACACTTAGCATCCTTTTTAAAAGATATGTATGGTAGTTTGCAAGTAAGGTCTTTGTCTTGTTCTATATTAGATTTCTAGAGGTGGATCTGGGCCTGACCCACTGCGACCTTCCCAGATCTATTGTGATCTTGTCTTGTTCTACAATGAAGTTTTATGTACCAATAGGTTATACTACAAATAAGATTGTTAAAAATATTCACTGGAGCATAAATAAATTCAATCCACTACCTAACCTGTATTGAATATCGACGATGTTAGAAAACACATCAAATGGCGGCCTTTTCTTGTAATACATATTTCTTCACTAAAGATATCGACGCCTATACATTATTAACTAATAAATTTGTAGCATTTTAGTGGTTTTATAATTATTTTAAAATATGTGGATAAATATTTTTATTCTGAAATTGACAGCTTCTCAACATTTGACATGACAAATTCAGACAAATGTGACATTTAAACAGTCCTACCACTACAGTTTTCCCAGAAATACCCCAAAAATCCGCCATTTTGGCGCCAATAACATTGAACAAACCAATTGCGGTACTTTATATATCTAGGGACTTTATAGCGACCGCTATAGCAGCGCCAGATCGCGTATAACGGTCGCGATCCAAAATTTTTACGGGCTTTCCAATCTAAACTTGTTGTATTTATCTATGATTGATTCTATACACATTTTTTTTGTTTACAATAAAATATATATACAGGTGACACATTTTTGAAAAAGGTCAATAAAGTTATGCATATCTTTGACACAATATGACAACAATGTCAGCGCACATTTTGATTTTTTTGTTACTATACAGGGTGAGTTAAACTTATTTCCAAACTAAAGAGTAGTTTAAAAGTGGAAATCCATTTTTTCGCTCTGCATTTAGCTTCAAATTTTCTGTCCGAAAATACCACAATAATGTAATAATATATACTAAATAGACTTCAAAATCTTACCGTTCTAGTATACACGGTGTCCCATATAAAAAAAATTTGACAGCATAGTACAGCCTCGCCCCAAAAAGTTTTATTTTTACTCCTAATAAAACGATATACTATTTCTTAAAATCACACAATAAATTTGACATCACACACTAATACGTTTTTAAAAATATCACATTTTTGATATTGCTGTATATACATCATGTATCTATTGATATTTGAATTGTTAATTTTTCAGCACACTTACGAGTCATTTCACTATACAACCTTACTATACCTGAACGATTATGAAACCGATTTTAAAGGGGGTAGATTTATGTTTGTAAATGATTTCAATAAACCCACTAAAAATATCACAGTGGAACCTAGAAAAGGCAGAGTGTCTATGTTTACGTCGGGCGCAGAAAATCCACATTTTGTTGAAAAAGTATGAGAATTAAATTGTTTTTCTAGGATAAGTATATTTTAATTATATATTTTTAGGTTTCTGAAGGTCAGAGATATGCCATAACAATATCATTTACTTGTAACGAAAAGAAGAAAATCAACGATCCAACGATGAAAACATCACATTAAGGTTGTAAATAAAGTAATAGTAAAATTTCAGTTTATTAGTTTTATTCCTAAATCTCACTTTCCTATTGGCTTGGTGCATTTTCCGCCAGTGCTGCCACCATCCGAGAAAGTCGTAAACAACCGACATATCTATACCACAGATTAGGTATCCTGTAAGTATACAGATAAAAATCTTGTCCCTAATTCGTGGTGCGAAAATTGTTTTTTATGACGATGCATGAGCAAACGAGTAAATTTTCTTGTGCGCAAAAATAAACTCCCGTTTAAACAGCGTAATAACTGGGCCGGTCAGGCGCTGTGCACAATTTTAGAGACCATAAGTGGGCGTGCTTGTGCGCAAACTAGTAACCTAACTAGTGCGCGACTCCGAAAATTGGAACCACGAAAAACAATGCTTTTGACGATAAGTTTATAATCTGTATAAGCTGTGCCTATACCATATATAAATACAATACAGTAGCGAAAAATGTATTATAAAATTATTCTAAAATTGTTAGGAATCATAATTTGTTAAAATTCTAAAAATAAAAATAAATATTTTGTTATGTTCAGAAGGTCTAACCTGTATTATAATTTATTATTCAAGCTCATAAAACGTTTTAAATGAGTTTAACTACGGTAGCTAGCATAGTTTTACTCATCGATTTTGCTAGCGGAGACATAACTGGGGCTATTTCGGTTATAACGATTTTTTTAAAGGTACATAATTATATTTTTAGAAGTTCTTCATAAAAAAATTAAGCGCTAGTTGATTAAAACAAGTATACCATTAATATTGCAAATTATAATTATTTCTTCTCTCATAGTATATGCCTATTTAATTTTTTGATTATGTAATGGACACTTTGTTTACTCACTTGTTTCTAGTGTTGCACAAGACGAGAATTCTTCAATTTCTTATTTTATCTTGAAATTCAAGACAAGAAATTTTCAGTCTTGTCTTGCAGATTTCTTGAATGGCAAAGTCTTGTCTTGTTTTGCAAGACTCTTGAAATTTCTAGTCTTGAAAAATTTTACATTCTAACGAAAAGGTAATATTATTTCTATATTTTATTTCATAGGAAGCGTCGTTTATCGTCGTAAATTATGTTCTATTTTACTTATTTTTGATTACCTGTTTGTTACTTTTATTTTTTATGGTATTTATTTTATCTTTTTATTATGGAAAATTGGTTGGCGCTATTTGATACTACTTTTTGTTCGCGGAGCAATTTCGAGCATGAAAAGTAGTACCAAAGAGCGTGCTCCACGAACCCACCATTAGTTTCAACTACCGTTAGTTTTTTTTTATAATACCATTATACCAATATAATTTTGTGTATAATACCAATCAATACCAATTACCAATATACGGTTTGTTGCCTCGACTTTATTTTATTTCATTCTCAACTCTAAAACACTGGCTATGATAGAAAAAAAAACTTGGCGCCGAGAGGCACGTATAGCCGCCCATACTAAAATATGTTAATATCTCGAAAACTGCGACTTTGACTGATTTTGATGTTATTACAAATTTTGTTGCAAATATTATTCCTAATCTTAATTTGAAAACCGCGTTTCGCTAGCTATTGTAATTTTGGAATTATGTTTTTTTTAACTTTTTAACCCCCTCCCATATTCCCTTACCAACCCCCCACCCCCACCAAAAACTAATGGCCAGATTCTAGGGTGCCACAGTATTTTTGTGCCAAATTTGGTTAAAATCGGTTCAGCGGTTTTTGAGTTATCGTGTTATAGACGGACAGACGGACAGACTGACAGACAGACACCACGAAAATATTTTGTATTTAGGTCATTTATGACCCAAATAACTCATTTTGAGTGAAATAAAAAAACTTTTTTTTGTCGATCCTAATAGCCTACCATACCTATTGGTATGGTCGGCTAATAAAAATGAACACTGGTCAATATTAATGCCGGGTTTATACAACATTTGCATAAGTCGTAATCATATTCATAGTTTTAATAATCGTCATAATCACAACGCAATTTTAGTGTACGTTTATAGAACATTTTCATAATCATATTTTTTATCAGTGAAGTTGGGTAACATAATTAAAGGCTTAGTTCATGGTAGATGTCAACAGGTTTATAAGAAGTGGATAGTTTAACTTTAATGATTATATAACTATGATTGTGATTACGACTATGTAAATGTTGTATAAACCCGGCATAACTTGCGCAAAGACCTAATTATCACTTAAAAAATGTGTCATTTCTAACTTTCAAGAAATCTTGAAATCAAGAAATCTTGCAAGACTCTTGAAATTTCTTGCATATTAAAGTCTTGTCTTGAAATTCAAGACAAGAAATTTTGAAAGTCTTGTCTTGAATTTCTTGCAAGTCTTGGTCTTGCAAGACTTTTTCACTCTTGTGCAACACTACTTGTTTCGTCGAGCTGCTTTAATCCATTTTTGGTTTTGATCAAACGGCTGTAAAGTGGCTGTGAAGCTATAAAATATTTCGGGAGACTTGAATGTCCGGGAAAGTTGAGTTACTGAATGTTATTGCACCCAACAACCACATAATTATACGCCCTCCTTTACGTGTTAACATTTTTTCGACAATTTTATCAACTAATTTCTAGTGTTGTCGATCCAAAATAATTTATACTGTGTTTTTTTAATTGACATATAACATTATACGTATAATGAAAATGACAAAGAAAGTCGAGAAAAAAAAATTAAATTGTCCTGAAGCTACAAATAAATTTTGCGAAACGTAGACTATAATTTAAAACAAAGGACTTCTATTGAGTTTTTTTTCAGTCGTAAACCAATTAAAAAAAACTATAAATTTTATTAACATTTGAAGTTGTCACAACATAAAATGACGCCCAGTTCGGATTCTTTTTTACTTAATTTTTACTACCCGAAACAGCGTTACATCACGCAAACCTCGTACCCGAGTACTTTATAGTTTCAGTAACTGCACTATTAAAAACTAAAATACTTAATAATATATTATTACAAAGTCACGATTTTAATATTACTTCAATGCGATCAACATCGAAGCTGCGTGCAATACAGAACCGAAAATTTCTGATTTCTGCCGTATCGAGTGCTGAGGACGGAATTTTTAAAATCAACCAGGGGCGGATACAAAAATTTATTTTAGGGGGCCCAAATTAAAAGTAATATATTCTTTTTAAGGCGCCATTTTTAACCCAAAAATAAGCGTAATATAGACCCAGTTTATAGACTTTAGGGGGGGACCCATGGCGCCCCCCAGCATCTGTATCTGCCACTGAAATTAACTGAAATGCACCAATAAGCCTATACAATCGGCACGTTTGGGGCACGTTCAGGTATGGTCAGCCGCTGAGTAGCTGTGAATGCGACTTCCCCGAACGGTCCTTTCTGACACACAGCAACACTCAGCCATTGTGCAAAATTCTCAGCGATAAATATTTAAGCTAACAACGCTTCCAGATGGAGCGGACCGTCCGCGACGTAGCGTCCGCGCCTTCGAGCAAGTACCATGAGTTTATATGAACAATTTCACATGGTCGCGTATGCTCCGTCCGACAGCTATCTTGAAAAGACACGACGGACGGTCCGTCGCGGATGCTCCGCTCCATCTGAAAGCACTGTAACAGCTCTTTCAGATAGAGCGGAGCGTCCACGCGGACCGTTCGCGAGTTCCATGAGTTTAACAGCGCTTTCAGATGGAGCGGACCGTACGCGCGAATGTTTTTTCAATATAGCGCGACCCATGTGAAATTGTTCATATAAACTCATGGTACATGACGGACGGTCCGCGCGGACGCTCCGCTCCATCTGAAAGCGCTGTAAATGAACAATTTCACATGGGTCGCGTATGCTCCGTCCGGATGATTTCGTTTGACGGTTATCTTGAAAAAGCAAGCAGCACATAAACAGCGCGGACGCTCCGCTCCATCTGAAAGCGCTGTAAGCAAACTCCAGCGGTGTTTATATTCACTTTTCTCTTTATATCATTATCGTTAGTCAACTGTGTGTAGAATAATTTATCATTTTTCATTAAACATATAATCAGGCATTGTAGGTAATATATTTTTAAATAGTATTTAACACAGTGCCGCGTTATCCATTAGGCAAGATAAGCAGCTGCCTAGGGCGGCAGGCTGATAGCGAGCGGCATTTTTATAAATAACAAATTTTATTTGAATTTTTATCAGTTGAAGGGGGCGGCAAAATTTAACACCTGTGAAAGTTGCTGTTTCTTTTTGCCGTTTATGCCGAGTCCAGACCAAGCAGACAAAACAAGACAAGACAGAAACATTCACGTTTTACGACAAAATTGCGACAAATCCAATATATTTCTGCGACATTTTTGTTTCATTTTTTTTGTTTCAAAATTCGGAGACCTTTCAGTGTCCCGTCTCGAGTCGGTAGAGATTACCCAAGTAGCATTTTCACGACTTGCGACCACATGTTTACTAAACACAACGTTGGATTAGTTACAAAAAATAGTTAGCTCTGTACCTTGGGTATTAAAAAAACGTTGTTGTAACGTTGTGCCGACGTTGAACTAGTACTACAACAAAGTAAAAGCTTCTGCGATGTCGAATAAACGTTGTCTTGCAACCTATTTTGCTTAAGTGATATTTAGGTGATTCGGACAACGTAGGTACAATGTTGGACAATAAAGAGTTTTCCGACATCACTTTCAGGACCTATTCCAACGTTATGCAAACGTCGTCTGTTTTACTAATTCCAACGTTATCCAATTTCCTTATTATTATTAGTATTGAACCATAACCTTAAATCTTAAATTTTCACATCATTGTTGTTCAATCCATTTCAATTAGGTGGATTCAATTTTAACATAAAAACTGATACGATGGGACGTAAGAAGAACGCATATAAATAGATTGGAAATATACCGTCGGTATGCAATTCGCTGCCACTCCCTCGTTTATTTAGATATAGAGGGCGGCACAAACTACACTCTAGGACATTCCAAATTAGGCAATCTTTACGACTTAACCCCCTCCCATATTCCCTTACCAACCCCCCACCCCCACCAAAAACTAATGGCCAGATTCTAGGGTGCCACAGTATTTTTGTGCCAAATTTGGTTAAAATCGGTTCAGCGGTTTTTGAGTTATCGTGTTACAGATGGACAGACGGACGGACAGACAGACAGACACCATGAAAATATTTTGTATTTAGGTCATTTATGACCCAAATAACTCATTTTGAGTGAAATTAAAAAAACTTTTTTTTTGCCGATCCTAATAGCCTACCATACCTATTGGTATGGTCGGCTAATAAAAATGAACACTGGTCAATATTAATGCCGGGTTTATACAACATTTGCATAAGTCGTAATCATATTCATAGTTTTAATAATCGTCATAATCACAACGCAATTTTAGTGTACGTTTATAGAACATTTTCATAATCATATTTTTTATCAGTGAAGTTGGGTAACATAATTAAAGGCTTAGTTCATGGTAGATGTCAACAGGTTTATAAGAAGTGGATAGTTTAACTTTAATGATTATATAACTATGATTGTGATTACGACTATGTAAATGTTGTATAAACCCGGCATAACTTGCGCAAAGACCTAATTATCACTTAAAAAAATGTGTCATTTCTAACTTTCAAGAAATCTTGAAATCAAGAAATCTTGCAAGACTCTTGAAATTTCTTGCATATTAAAGTCTTGTCTTGAAATTCAAGACAAGAAATTTTGAAAGTCTTGTCTTGAATTTCTTGCAAGTCTTGGTCTTGCAAGACTTTTTCACTCTTGTGCAACACTACTTGTTTCGTCGAGCTGCTTTAATCCATTTTTGGTTTTGATCAAATCGCTGTAAAGTGGCTGTGAAGCTATAAAATATTTCGGGAGACTTGAATGTCCGGGAAAATTGAGTTATTGAATGTTATTGCACCCAACAACCACACAATTATACGCCCTCCTTTACGTGTTAACATTTTTTCGACAATTTTATCAACTAATTTCTAGTGTTGTCGATCCAAAATAATTTATACTGTGTTTTTTTAATTGACATATTATAACATTATACGTATAATGAAAATGACAAAGAAAGTCGAGAAAAAAAAATTAAATTGTCCTGAAGCTACAAATAAATTTTGCGAAACGTAGACTATAATTTAAAACAAAGGACTTCTGTTTAGTTTTTTTTTCAGTTCTAAACCAATTAAAAAAACTATAAATTTTATTAACTTTTGAAGTTGTCACAACATAAAACGACGCCCAATTCGGATTCTTTTTTACTTAATTTTTACTACCCGAAACATCGTTACATCACACAAACCTCGTACCCGAGTGCTTTATAGTTTCAGTAACTGCACTATTGAAACTAAAATACTTAATAATATATTATGACAAAGTCACGATTTTAATATTACTTCAATGCGATCAACATCGAAGCTGCGTGAAATACAGAGTCGAAAATTTCTGATTTCTGCCGTATCGAGCGCTGCGGTCGATATTTTTAAAATCAACTGAAATGCACCAAGCCTATACAATATGGGTACGTTCAGGGTATAGGTACAGGGTACAGGTACGTTCAGGGATGGTCAGTGGTTGAGTAGCTGAGAATGCGATTTCCCCGAACGGTCTTTTCTGACACACAGCAACGCTCAGCTACTGTGCAAAATTCTTAGCGATAAATATTTATGCTAAGCAAACTCCGGTGTTTATATCCACTTTTCTGTTTATATATCATTCGTTGTCAACTGTGTGTAGAATAATTTATCATTTTTTATTAAAAATATATAGTCAGGCATTGTAGGTAGACCTGTTCGGTGTTGAGATTTGAACATCGGTGTTGGGTGTAGTGATGTTGGTAGCGAATATTTCCATTCGAATTTTGCAGGAAATTTCAGAAATATTCGGCCCCAAAATCGCGAATATTCGCAAAAATCCGAATTTTGCAAGAAATTTCTTTTCAAAATTCAAGACATTGAGCAAAAATTTAACGAAAGTGTATCAAATATGCCGATTCTTAAGTCAGAAGAAAAAGAATGCTTCTCCGCCTTACAAAATAAAAAACCTATGGCTCTTAAACCAATGCATTTTTCCGCGAATCTCTTGGATCCCTGTTTCCTGGGAGAGCACCTTAACAATGAAAAACACATAGCCGCTATGGAATTTATCAACAATATCACCAACAATCATCCTCAGTTTGTCAATAATAAGCCATTTTTACAGATGTAACAAATTATTGCGCCAAATCGAGTTTATGGGCTCTCGCCTACGTTTGGATGTCAGTTAAAAATGTAGACTGTCTAAGTTGGTGGCAAGCAATGTGTAAAAATACTCAGTTGAAATATTTAGCTGTTGCTCTGCTGTCTTTACCAACGTCATCTGCAGCCGCAGAGAGAAGTTTCAGTACTCACAGTTTTATCCATACTAAAAAAAGGAATCGCTTAACTGCCCAAAGAGCCAGTAAAATAATGTTCGTAGCTCATAACAATAAATTATTACTACAAAAACAAAAAGTGGATATGGAGCATGATATTCAACAACAGGAAATTCCTCCAGAACCACTAGAACTCGTGGAGGTAGAGGTCCATCCTGCAGAATCAGAACCAGATGATACATCAAATATATCTGATTTGGAAATAGAAACTGACGAAGACAGTACTACTACTACTATAATACCCTATGAAGATGGGACCAGGTCGGCGCCTGATATTCCGGAATAGAATAATTCAGTTATTTGTGTTTTACGTTTTTTAAATTTATATTTCGTGCTTTTTTGTTTTTTTTTTAATTCATAGTCATAGTTCGTGGTTTATGCACAAAATACAAATGTTACGAAATTATTTTTGTTATGGGTTATGTTTATGACTTTTATGGGTTATGTATTGTTTATTAAAAATATAACAACTAATATTATGTTTATTGTTTTTTTCCACTTACATGTTGGTATCAAATGTCTATCTAATTTATTCCTTTATTGTACGACAAAAATATGTAAAATTGTAAAATTTCCTAATATTTCATAAATTTCTGAAAGTTTCAGAAATTTCCTGCAACAATCAAAAATTTCTGAAATATTAACATCATTTGTTAGGTGTTGATGACCTACACCGGTGTTTCAGTCGGTGTACCGGTGTCAACACCGACACCGACTGTTTATCTCAACACCGGTGTTCATTATCAACACCAGTCTTTATCTTGACACCGGTGTTTATCTTAACACCGGTGTTTACCTCGACACCGGTGTTTATCTCAACACCGGTATCGCGATGAACACCGGTGTCGAGATCAACACCGGTGTCGGTGTCGATCGTCGATGTCAATGGTGCCGTTTGTTTGTTTTTTTAGTTTTTTAATGTAATATTTTTTATTTTATTTTACAGCTACGAATTTTTGTTTATGTTTTGTTTTGTTTTCTATTTGTTTTTGATTAAACAATTTTTTATTTTATAGTTGTTTATCTGACGCTTCTACTTTATTTTAGTGATTAGTCTGACAGAAAAATTATATTTAAATTTGAAAGCTTTAAGTTAAAGTCGGTGCGCTTTAATAAATTATAAAAATAAGCATCGATACGACATTATTATTATCAGGTTTATTTGGAACTTATTAATTATCATTATTTCTTCTTTAACCCGTCTACAAAACACCGGTGTCAATATCCAAACCGGTGTCGTAGTCAAAACCGGTATCGAGATGAACACTGGTGTTGTAGATGAACACCGGTATCGAAATGAACAACGGTGTCGGTATCAACACCGGTGTCGGTTACAACACCGGTGTTGGCACCAACACCGTCGGTGTCGACACCGGAACACCGGATAGTCTATATTTGGCCACCGGTGTCAGCCCAACACCGGGGTTAAAACGGTGTTCCGGTGTTTGGAACAAGTCTAATTGTAGGTATAATGTTTTTAAATAGTATTTACCATCTGTGAAAGTTGCTGTTTCTTTTTGCCGTTCAGACCAAGCAGACAAAACAAGACAAGACAGAAACATTCACGTTTTACGACAAAATTGCGACAAATCCAATACATTTCTGCGACATTTTTGTCTCATTTTTGTTTTGTTTCAAAATTCGGAGACCTTTCAATGTCTCGTCTCGAGTTGGTAAAGATTAAAGTGTCTATGTTATGTTCGTATATTTTACAAGTTGTCGGCGCAGTGTGGATGTGGATGGCGTGTGCTGCCAACAGTAGACCAGTGAAATCACATGGTTAATAAAACTCATTCGCAACAAATAAACTTTTGACCTTCTTGTACTTTTGTTCTTACAGTGTGGACAATTTGTCTCAAGTTTGTCTTTTCAGAATTCCCCAATTTTTGTCGCAAGTTCGTCTTGTTTTTGTCTCAAAATCGTGTTTACTTTTGTCGCCTTGGTCTCTGGACCCGGCATTAGGGAATAACCGCGGAATGGCGTCAAGCAAAGTCAGCGAAAATATTCGCTGGAAGTTAACTGCTGTGTTCCCTGAACGCGCCCAATGTAACCAACTGTATTAATATGTTCTCAGGTACCTATTTTAATTAAAAGATTTTTTATTGTTTTTTTTATTTATTTATTGATTTTAAGATATACATATTTTTCGATATCCAATAAGTTTGTACATTTCTAGTTAACATTAAAATGTCGCTGAATAAAGCAACATATCTAGCGACATTTCCTTTCGCTCTAATACTCAGTTAGCATTAAAATAAAGAAAAGCTAAGCAACAAACTCTTCGTTATTATTAAACTAACCAAAAACGTCGCAATAATATAGTAACAAAAATAAAATTTTACAATATGTAATTATGTATAACAAATGTCTTTTTTTAAAGTCCTAATAAGGACCATGTGAAAAGTGTTACCGTCTAAGCGTATATATTCATATCACGAAAACAACATTTTTACTATAATAATGTCATCTTTGCTCGTTACCTTTGATTCCTACACGACACTGATTTATACTCAGCTATATTATGTTCGTTAATATAAAAATAAATTAGACTATTTTACTTATACCTAATTTTTTTCGCTACCCTACTATTTACAAACAAAATTAACAAATATATATTTTTTTAACTGGAATGTGAAATGTTTCTTTTTACTTAGAAGAAATGCAAGTGTGTGCTAAAAATTTGTTCTACTTAGGAAATAAATGAAGAAATTATAAATTCCTTCCGTTTAGAGTCGGTTATTTTTACGATGTGGCAACATTTTGATTCAAAATGTTTGAGATATTTTCTACGGTGCCTTTCGTGAGTATGCTTCGATGGTCGCCGTTCAACGTTTGAATTGTGGGCTTGCTTGTACATACCTATAAATAAAAAATTAATTTTAGATATATGATTATGTGTAAATTAATTATTACACTACACAGACAAATAATAAAAATATACAAATTTTACTGTGCTAAATGAAGGTACCTAAGATATACAAACCAGATGTTATAATAATAATTAAATAAATTATAATAATAGATAATAATAGTTAATAAATAATAATAGTTAAATAATGTTATAAATAATCAGTACTTCGCAAATATCTGCCAGAATATGCAATTTACAAATTTTTTCTTGGAATGGTTCTTATCGTTTTTATGTAGAATTAGTAGTTTTCAAGAATTCTGCCTCGAAGATCCCTGAATTTTCTCTATAAATTCTTAACGGCTCCGGAGATAGATTTCATAAGCCTATCCTTATTGATTGATAGGACATTTTTTTTTTGTTCAATAACTCAGCTAAAATTCAAAATTTTTTGATGATTCAAAGTTCATTTAAAAGAAAGGATCAACAGCTATCGCATTTTGGAATTTGTTTGAATTTTTTCATATTTTATCATAGTAAAAAAAACCGGGCCAACATTCCTTAGCCCAAACATTTTCAGATTTTTACAAACTTATTCTGATGGCCCTGTATTTACTTATGACCACCAGTCAAGGTAAAAGATAATTGTCAAATGAAGTTGTCATTTCAGAAATTTATCTATTTAGTGCTTTATTATTATTATTAAAAACTCATACCTACATCGAAAATATTAGCCATGAATTACACTACCGAAGAAAAAGTATTGATGATTAAATGGTATTATCAAGGAAATAGTTATCAAAAGGTGTCGGACATGTTTGCTGATCTATATCCGAATAGACCTGGAAAATCTACAATCGCAAGGAATATCCAGAGATTTGAGACCAAAGGTACCCTAATAAATAACTGCAGATGTGAACCAAGGCAGGAATAAAGAGAAGATGCAAGAAATGATACCGGCTTGGAAGTTTTATTGCGCGTGGAAGAGAACGATGGAAAGATCAGCACAAGGAAACTTGAGGATGAAATAGGAATAGATCACACTACAGCGTTTCGAATTTTGAAACGACATAAATACTATTCCTTCAAATATGAAAAGCACCAAGAGCTACGAGATGGGGACGAAATACGGCGGCAGGCGTTTTGTTTTGATATGATGGAAAGAGCAAACACGGATAGGGAATTTTTAAAAAACATATGTTTCACTGACGAATGCACGTTTACATAATGAACCCAATGTTCAAAATTATCGATATTGGAACAAAGAAAACCAACACAGGTTTGTCGAAACAAGGACGCAATATCCACAGAAAGAAATTGTTTGGGCAGGGATATTCGGACACAATATTATCGGGCCATTGTTTCTTACGCAAAATTTAAATGCAGAATATTATTTCGAACTACTCGAAAATCATATTTTACCTGCTTTACATGATGCCGCTAGGGAAAATCAGGAAGTTTGGTACCAAATGGATGGCTGCCCGGCACATAGTACCCTGGCTGTTCGGGAATATTTCGACAATAGTTTTAACGGAAACGTTATTGGCCTAAATCATACAGTAAATTGGCCAGCAAGGTCAACTGATATTTCGCCAAATGATTTGTTTCTCTGGGGCCATTTAAAAAATAGGATATACAAGGATAAAAAAATACCCAAATCTAGACGAGTTAAAAAATGCTATTTCTGCCGAATGCAATAGAATTTCAGTTTGCCAGCTAGCGAATGTAAGAAGAGAATTTTATGATCGCCTGGGTTATTGTCTAGCAGTCGATGGAGGAATATTTGAACATCTTAATTCCTAACGTTCTAACAATTTAATAGTACCTAAATTAATAAGTTATTGAATATTGTAATAATACTATAATTAACCTTGTAATTGACTACTTTATTTTACTTTAATTCATATTAATTTGTATTTATAAATACATCTTTAAGATTTCCGATGCAGGAATGAGTTTTCAATAATAATAAAGCACTAAATAGGTAAATTTCTGAAATGACAACTTCATTTGACAGTTATCTTTTACCTTGACTGGTGCTCATAAGTAAATACAGGGCCATAAGAAAGGAGAAATATTTAAAAAGAAATCGGCGATAACTCGTAAACGAGCTAATCAAAAATATCTAAAGTTATTCTTTTGAATGTGTGTTTTAGTGCTCTTCAATAAACCTAAATAGAATTATTCTCTAAAATAATTAGGGAAGCCAATAATTGACCCCATTAAAATTTATATGGGATTTCCTATGTCCCGTCCGACGATGCAACACCCGGTATATTGGCAGAGATAATATTGGTTTGTTTGTATATCTTTTATACATATCTATGTTAAATTATCTTATAATCCATACTATTTAACATTAGATTTGTTCTTTACTGAAAAAGTTTCTGCACGAATCATAGCACAAAATTTGCAGGTGCCCTCCTTTATAAGGGGTCATCTAGAAATTACGTGAGTGAGGCGTTTTTGAGTATTTTTGACCCCTCATAAACACCCCCCCCCCTTAATTCTCCCACGCAATTAATGGACAAATCTCCCACACCCTAATGGACAATAGCTATCTGCAGATATCGTGCTCTGTGCTTTATTTTTTACAAATTTCTTACCTTAGAAAGACCGTAGTCCTCATCCCCTTGGACAAAGTTGTCCTTGGCCTTTACTAACGTCACGGGGCCTCGGAATTTGTCTAAAGGTTTGTACTCGTCGCCGGCCTTTACTTTCAGGAAGAAACTAAGAGCCGCTGCGTGTAAGTCTTCGGGAGAGAATGGCACGGATTTGCCCAAAATTTCAACGGTTTTTGCCACCCTTTCGTTGAGCGATTTCAGTTTGACCAGTTCTTGGATAACCTGGAAAAAAAAGAATTTAATTTAATGATTTTTTGGTATTTAAAGCGTTTCTAAATTTTTAGTCAGTTTGACTGATATTCGGTAATGATCTACAGGGTTGTTCGAACTGTATTCCAGAAACTTCGGCAGCATATTCTACAGATAAAAATTAGTAAAAAAGTTCGTATAAATGTGGGTCTTAAAAAGCTTAGTTTCGGAGATACAGGCTGTAGAAATTTAATTTTAATTCCGATTTTTTTCCAAATAATTTCTGAAGTAACGTCAATATTTGGATGAAAATTGGTGTCTGGGAGTTTTTTGACATTAGAAATCTGATTCTGATGTCAATATGACTCCTACTTGTAGAGGGCGCCACCTACATATTTTCTAACTGGTTTGAAGAATAATAACTTTTCGTCCGTACCTGTATAAAACTACTGAGTGAAAAAATATACATCTCTGTGACTTTTTACGTAAAAAATATCTCTTTGTAAAAATCGCTACGAGCAACCGTTCTCAAGATATTTAGAATGGAAATAGTCAATACATGTCATTATTGACGAAAAATAAACACGTTGAGTAGATAGTTATTTCACTGAAATAATAAATTTGAAAATTTTTATTTTTTTTAATTAATCATAAATTTTTCTGCAAAAAACGATGATAAAACAGTTTCTGTTGAACTTTTGGCACAAAAATATTTCAAATTTATTATTTCAGTTTAATAACTATTTAGTCAACATGTTTAATTAATGTCAATGATGACAGGTATTAATAATTTCGATTCCAAATATCTCGAAAACCATTACTCGTAGCGATTTTTACCAAGAGACCTTTTTTACGTAAAAAACGTCGTAAATGTATATTTTTTTACTCAGTAGTTTTATACAGGTACGGACGAAAAGTTATTACTCTTCAAACTAGTTAAAACACATGTAGGTGGCGCCTCCTACAATTAGGAATCATATTGACATCAAAATCAAATTTCTCATGTCAAAAAATTTGATAAAAAAGACACCAAATATTGACGTTACTCCAGCAATTATTTGAAAAAAATCGAAATAAAAATGAAACTTCTACACCCTGTATTTCCGAAAGTAAGCATTTTAGGACCAACATTTATAGGAACTTTTACTTATATTTATCTGCAAAATATGCTGCCGACGTTTCCGGAATACAGTTCGGACCGCCCTGTATATTAAAATAATTTTGAACACTGTATATTTCTTTCTTTTCCTTTTAGATGCAGAATTCAAAATTTGAACTTTTTCTGTATTTAACTTTATACTTGATTATAAGGACCCACGAAGTCATTGAGATATAGCAAGGTTTCGACACAAGCTAAGAAACGCACCTTTTGTTGGTCTTCTTCCTTAAATTGTGTAATGAAGAAGAAGAGAGCCTCACTTTCTTCTGCTGCCCTACTCTGTGTGATCTTCGACCTGGCTTTGCCAGTGTGAATTGCCACGAAGCTAGGTGACCCGTCAATAAGGAGCAATTTGACTTTTTCTCCTTGTTTTTCCAAGATAACTCCAATTTCGAATGCTACAGCTGCTCCAAATGAATATCCGACCTGAAAACAAAATTCAAACGTTAATTTTACATCCCTTCGTGTTCTTAAGAGTCCATTTCACTAGTCCGAAAAAGTAGCAAAATAAGGCATTTAACGTTTTATGAAAAACTAGCTAGGTATTTTTACACAAATGATGAAGGAAATTAAGCATAAAGGATTATACTATATGCAGTATTGCAGCATTGCAGCAGATTTTTAGACAACTTCATTATTTTTAAGATTTTGATGGTCAAACATCAACAAAATATGCCTTATGTTTGGACTAAATTTTCTCGAAAATGAAGACATAATTTAAAATTCCGTTACAATACCGAAATAGATTGAAGTTTTGTGATTACAGTGATATATAATTTATATGGTTTTGTAACAATCTGCTCGCTATTTTATGGCAAATGCTGAAGCTCTGCAAACCTTAATCAAACCTTCATCAAAGCACGTGTGTTTGGAATTTTAGGTGCCGGTTAACATGACAGGATCGGGCTAAACCTTAAAGCGACCCGAACAGTACAGCCTAATAGACTCTAAACGTTCTATAATTTGTGATTTGCCGTAACTTAAACCAATCCAAACTCAAATACAGCGTATTTGATAACCAGCTTGATAACTATTTATATTTTCCAGAGACTGCGCATCACTCCTGCGCATATACTCGTTTTATTATTAGTGCATCGCTGTCTATATGAATTACTTAGAAAAAAGTTTATCTGTAGATGAAAGTGAGTACACTTTCTAATCTGCCACAAACTATCTAACTGCCCATACGGTTATTTATTGTGAAATAACAAAAAAGCACGCAGAAATATTATCCCATCGAGGTTTAGTCAAAACACGCCGAATATTCAAATGAAAAAAAATCAGAATAATACAGAGAGTTCTGTAATAAAAAACACATTATAATAAACTTACTAGAGTGTATGGTCCCTTAGACTGCACAGACTGAATTTCCTTAACGTAGAAATTGGCCAATGCGCTGATGGTCTCTACTGGAGCGTTTTTGGTACACTGCAAACCGTAGACAGGTGCGTCGATATTTTGAGCGAATAATCGTAGCGAATCGATGACACCTTCGATAGGGTGAACCAAGAATACTGGCGTTTTCTTATTGTCGTTAGACTTGCTAGGAACAGATACCAACGTTTTGCTTGGCATAATTTCTACCAAACTTTCGAACGTAACTAGATTTTCTTCAGTGTTTTGAACGGGAGCCGTTGGAGCACCACCTCCACTACTTAATTCTTGCAATTTTCCGAAGGTCAAACCTGTAAAAAAATTACCATATGAATTAAAACCTCAAGCTTTAATGCCTTTAATTAAGACTTACCTCTGATTTCTTGTGCACTAAGTACCAAATCGTAGTTTCTCTCCAAAGTTTGCTTGATTTCAGCTCCCATAAGCGAGTCCATACCCAAATCGGCCAAAGAGGCTACCGGTGCTACAGTACTAGCGTCTTTGATACCCAAAATGTTAGCTACGGCATCAGTCAAACTGATTTGGTTACTACTTGAAGTCTTGCGTTTTTCTGCCAGCACCATACTAGCCACCACAGGGTGAGGTTGTTGGAGGAAGATGTCGATGGTTGTCAAACATGACTGCATCCTATTAAAAAAATATATCATTAATAAATTACTGGTTTTTCTTGAGCAGAAAAAACAAACCTTTGAGGCAAGGTACCTCCAACTTCGGTATCGTTCATTCCACCAAGAGCTTCCAGTACCAATCCAACATCACCAATAGCTCCCCATTGTATGGCAACTGCAGGTAGACCGGCAGCTTGACGATCTTCGGCGATTCTTTCCATAGCTGAGTTAGCTAAACCATAATTGGTTTGTCCAATATTACCTCTACCGCAAGATACAGAAGAGAAGTTCACGAAGTAGTCTAATTGTGGAGCTAGGACTCTTGAAGCAGCGTCAAGTTGTTTAGAACCATCTACTTTAGGTCTGCAGACAGTCTTGAAGTCGGCTTCTGTTTGGTTGTCGAAAAGAGCATCACGCAACACGGCGGCTAAGTTGAAAATACCACCTACTGGTCCCAATTCACTGGCTTCTTGTAAAAGACGTTTAGCTCCCTTATCAGTTGTGGCGTCTGATGTGGAAATAAGTACGTTAACTCCAGCTTCGCGCCATCTTCTAATACATAACGATTGATATCCGGTCTTGATACCACTTCTGGAGGTAAGTACGATGTTCCTTGCTCCTCTGTTAATGAGCCAGTTGGCTAATTCCAAACCAAAACCTCCCAGACCACCTACAAGGACGTAGCTCTTTTCCGGATCCAAGTAAGAACGAGGAATGGCTGATACGGTTTTAAGTGCTGGTTTCTGAGTGGTTCTAGATTCTTCATCGCGGATCTTTAATAATACCTTACCAATATGTCTGCCGGAAGCCATGAAACGGAAAGCTTGCTCTACTTGGTTCTCGTTGTAGACGGTATTTGGTAGAGGTCTAACAGCTCCGGAAGCAATACCCTCGCTGACTAAACGCATAACTTCCTTCTTTTCGGGGGTGTTAGAGTCGAACAGGGCATCCAAAAGAATTCCGTGGAATGTGGTATTTTTCAAGAAAACTGCCATTCCCAGAGGACTGTTATTGCTCAAGTCGACTTTACCGATTTCCAAGAATCTTCCACCAATAGCAAGACATCTTACTGAAGCTTGCAACTGATGAGCGGCCAGAGAGTTTAGAACTAAATCTACACCTCTGCCGTTAGTTTGGGTCAATACCAATTGCTCAAAGCTTGTGTCTCTGGAGTTTCCAATGTTATCGTCGGTCAATTGAGGGAAAGTCTTCTTCAAGAAGTCTCTCTTTGCTTGACTAGATACGGTTGTGAAAACTTTGCATCCCATATGAAGAGCGATAGCTATGGAAGCTTGTCCAACTCCACCAGTTCCTGCATGAACTAAAACTGACTCTCCTGGTTGCATTTTTCCTCTAACCACCAAGGCATAGTAACTGGTACCGTATACTACAGGAATAGTAGCTGCTTCTTCCAACGACCATTTTTCTGGTACTTCCCATAAGAAACCAGGATCGGCGAGGACAGTGGTAGCTAAAGACCTAGCGGCTACCATACCCATAACTCTACGTCCTCGGGTATCTCTTCCAGAGAACTCTAGACCAAGAATACAATCTTGTCCGGCAAGATCTCCAGGTAGAGCATCTGGAGGTAGTTTTCCTGTAGCCAACATAATATCTCTGAAATTAAGTGGAGCGTAATACACGCTGCAAAGTTCGCTGTTTGGGTCGTCGCCTTTGTAATAGGAAAGAGGTCCTTCAATCCATCTCAAGCTAGCCAAGTCGCCACGAGTCAGAGTGTTGATGTAAGCGTGTTCGACTTGTAAGGCACCAGAGTCTGTATGTTGTTCCAAAGGAAGATGTCTGTAAGTTCCCCAAACTTTGTTTTTAAGCACGTTTTGAACGAGCCCTTTTCTAAGCTGACTTTCGTAAGCTTTAAGGGAGAATTTAGGAGCGTTTTGGTCTTGAATGAAGACAGATCGTACATTAACTCCTCCGGTTGGTTCGTTGGTCAAACAGTTGACTAAACCGACTAATCCAGTCAATGGTTCACCCTGAACGTATACATAAACTTTTTCGCTAGTACCAGATACTTTTGCCATTGCAGCTTTCAGTGGTTCCACCCACGAGAAGTTGTTTTCAGTTACTTGAATAACTGTTGAATCCGCTGCTACTTCTACTGGAGCTCTCAAGAGAATGTAAGTCTTGGTGGTAGTTGATTGAGTACTGATTACTTCCAGACCCAAAGCACTGAGAGCTTTGGCATCTACAGGTCCTCGCGCTTCTTCTAATAGAACGAAACCACCTTCTTTTAAAGAGTTTTTAGCATTTTCGATCAGAGCGTTTTGTTTGTAAGCTATAGCATCACTGATTACGACTAGATGAGAATTTGAATCTATAGCAACAGATCGAACATCTTTGACAGCGTTTTTGATGTCAGCCGCTTCGAGTGCTGGTGAACTGACAGGAGCGCTGGAGACTACAGTACCGTCGGCAGCTAGAGTTGGTTGAGATTCAATTACAGCACTAATCAGTGGGGCCAAGGCTGCTTCGATCGGTTTGTCGTTTAGTACTTCAGCAAACTTTATTTTCGAAGCTTTATTAGAATTTTCAATGATCAGTTCCGTGAGTACAGTTAAAGCAAGAGCTCTAGATTTTTCAACGTCATCTCCAAAACCTTGAGAATTTTCCAAAGGTACGAATTGGTATTTTTCCAAAGTGGGTGGTGCTTGAGCTTGTTGTCTTCTTGGAGCTAAACTAGCTTTCAATCCTCTAAGTTCAATACCGGCGGATTTGACTACTCCAATATTACGGTACATGCTGACATCAACGTTTGGTTCTTCAGGAAGGGTTTTAACGGCATTGAGAAGTTCTTTGGGGTTAATGAAGACTCGTTGAATACGAGTGGGTAAAGCTAGTTCTCTTGTTTTGTCTCCCAGGATGGCAAATTGCAACATTGTGTCGATGTAACTGATCCAGTTGTTGTTCCATCTTAGTTTACCGTTGACTCCTCTGTTGTCACTCTCAACGATACCTCTGAAGATACCGTCGTAATCGTAACCACGTAGCCTGAGCTCCTTGTAGATATCTCCTGAGTTTAAAGGCAAAACGTCTTGTTCTTGTTTAACAGAGGGTTTGGAAAGATTGAGGGTTTCTTTTGTGATATCTTCTGGTACAGAAATCTTTCCTGTAACTGCCACTGAGCCTCCTTCACATAATTCGAAATCACCGGTACCATCAAAGATGTTGATCAAGAACTTAACCGAACCTTCTTTAGGCATGATTGTGGCACGATGGAATTGAAGGTTTTCAAGAAGAACAGGCATTTGCTCGTAATCTTCGTTCCTTAGTTTGGCGAAAGTTTTCCATACTAAGGTGAGGTATCCAGTGGCAGGGAATAGTACTCTTCCGTCGATCGTGTGTCCTGCCAAATAACTGTCTGATTCTTTGCTAAGATCAATGTCAATTACTGATTCCCCAGATCGGTTGCCTTTTCCGCTGAAGTTGGCTACGGACCATTCAATGGAGTGGTCCCATTCAACGAGGGAGTTTATCATAGGTGTGCCTCGACTGACTGGGTAGGATACTGGATGATAAAGGTTTCCTAATTGAGGTTGAGCTCCAGCATTGTAGATTCTGAAAATAAGGCAGATAAATGAGTAAATTTAATATTTAAAACTTTAATTATGATTTGAACTTACTTTCCAAGGGCAGAAGTCAAGAAGGCAATGTTGTCAGGATGGTCTCTCTTGACCAAAGGCACGTTAGTGGCGTCTGGTCCCAAAGCTCTCTTCAAAATAGCTTGCAAAAGCCCAGTAGGAGCCACTTCAATTACTACTGAATTTTTCGGAACGTGAGCCAAAGCTTCGTGGAATAAGACTGGAGATAGCAGATTGTTCACGTGATATGCTGCACTAGATTGTTGAGCCAAAGGTGTGCCCCATGCGGCTTCAGGGATGGAAGATGATATCCATCTGAAATATTATACACAATTATACTTCACTGTTAAAATTATATTTTTACGTTTAATTACCTTGGGGTTCTTGGTTTGGGGCTTGGAATGATGGCGTCTAAAGCCTTTCTTAGTTTTGGACCAGCTTCTGCGATGTATTTGCTGTGGAAAGCAGTACCGGAACTGTTGACTGCCTTGGCGAAGATGTTTTCAGCTTGAAGTTGTCCAACGAACTAAAATAGAGATTATTATCGTCTTAATACTAGAACTTGTATTTATTAAATTTATTAATCAACCTACCTTGTTGATGGCGTCAGGTGGTCCAGAAATAGAAACAGAATCTTCGCTGTTGTGGCAGGCAGGTACGATTTCTGGTGGGCAACGGGCATGGGCGTCTTCCCAGGATAATCCTACGGCTGCCATAGCTCCAGGAGCTAGCTTGCTTTCCAAGATAGCTCTTCCTCTGCTGTAGGCGGCGAGAACAGCTTGTTCGGCGGTTAACGTACCATCGGCGTACGCGCAACCTAATTAAATATATTTGTTTAGTTTCATTATTGACTCAAATATTGTTATGGCGTATTTTCCAAATAAATACAGGGTGTCCCAGACTGAGCGTGCATTAGAAGTTTCTAGAGAACTAACTACAACATCTAGATCGAAGATTTTTTGCACATCATTGTTTTACATTGAGATCTATCGATTAAAAATATTTTCAATATGGAGGCACTTCCGGAATGACAGCAACTTTCTTATTTTAAATGGGTACCCCAATTTTTTATTACATACTTAAATTCTCTGTAAAATTTTATGAATTTTCATATCAAACACTCTATATTAACTTAATATTAACCGTTTTTGAGAAAAAAAAAATAAATATTTGGAGTAAAAAAACTGCCTGTCAAAAAAATTTGTATAGCCTAAACGTCAAATTTAGTGATTAACGTTTGGGTTTATTTTTGACTGATGTCCTTTTTTCCAAAAATGCAATGCGTAGTCGTTCTATGTCTACGCAATATTGGAATGCCCTGTATATGAAAGACTAACAAAAATCATTAACATGATTTAACTTTTTTACTTCTTGAGCTAGAACTTCTAATATAAATTATTGTTCTCAATATTCCCATTAGTAGTACTCAAAGTTTTAGAATAAAATAAAATAAATACAAGGGATACTGACCTACTTCTCCCACTGAATGTCCTACAATAAAATCAGGTTCCAATCCAACCGTTTTCAGTACGTCAGTCAGGGCAACTTGCATGGCAGCGATCGACACAAACGAATTCAAAACATTGTCAAAAGTAGTTGCGGTACCATTCACGATAATATCTTCCAAATTCACACCGTGAGGCTTAAGTGCTGCAGAACACTTGTCAATAGACTGCTTGAACACGTCCAACTGCATCAAGGCCTTGGCCATACCAGGCCACTGAGAACCCATTCCGGAGAACACAAAGCACAGAGGCCTGCCTTCGCTTCCTGCTTGAGTTACTTCAACAATTGGCTGGTCTTGAAGCACGGAATAGCCTCTGTAGAAATGACCGCCGATGTATTTTGAGTGTACTTGGTCAACCAAGGCGAGGAATTCTTCATCGTCCCGATGGTTGTGGATTTTGTTCAGGAAGTTCTTGACGGCTTCTTCGGTACGACCGGATACGGCAACAACGCGGGGGATTGGACCCTGAGGCCAGCTCTGTTTGGGTTTGGGGTTGGATTTGAGTACGATGTGAGCGTTGGCACCGCCGAAACCGAATGAGTTTATGGCGATTATGCCTCCGTTCCATGGCTGGTTTTGGGAAACTACCTGTAAAATCAGGAAATGCACGAATAAAGATATTGTTAAAAAATATTTTAGGTTGGGACTTTGAATAAAAAAATTAAGGAAAAAGTAGAATACAATCGACATCATAACTAACCCATCCTTGACAGTTCTGTTTGACATTTTAATTTAAACATTTGAATTTGATTTGAAATTATGTGGATTTATTTGTCTTTATATATATTATATATAATATTCTCCAGATAAAAACAAGTAAAAAAGTTCGTATAAATGTATGTCCTAAAATGTTTAGTTTCGGATAAACAGGGTGAAGAAGTTTCATTTTTATTTGGATTGTTTCCAAATAACTTCTGAAATAACGTCAATATTTGGATGAAAATTGATACCCGGGATTTTTTTGACATGAGAAATTTGATTTTTATGTCAAAATGACTCCTATTTGTACGGGGCACTACCTGCCTGTGTTTGAATTGTCTTGAAATGTAATAACTTTTGTCCGCACCTGTATAAAACTACTGTGACTTTTTACGTAAAAAATGTCTCTTGGTAAAAATCGCCACGAGCAACCGTTCCCAAGTTAATTAGAATGGAAATAGTTAATACATGTCAATATTGACAAAAAATAAACACGTTGAGTAGATAGTTATTTGACTGAAATAATAAATTTGGGATTTTTTTTAATTAATCATAAATTTTTCTGCGAAAAAACGATCACAAAATCATTTCAAATTTATGATTTCAGTCTAATAGCTATTTAGTCAACATATTTAATTTATGTCAATGATGGCAGGTATTGATAAATTACTTTTTAAACTAGTTAAAAATATGTAGGTGGCGCCCTCTACAAGTAGAAGTCATATTGACATCAAAATCAAATTTCTCATCTTAAAAAACTCCCAGGCACCAATTTTCATCCAAATATTGATGTTACTTCAGAAATTATTTAGAAAAATCTAAATAAAAATGAAATTTCTACACCCTGTATCTCCGAAACTAAGCATTTTAGGACATACATTTATACGAACTTTTTTACTTATTTTTATCTGCAGAATGTGCTACCGAAGTTTCCGGAATACAGTTCAGACCGCCCTGTATAATAGTCGATACGTGTAATAAACCGATCATTTATGAAATTCACTTATTTATTGCTGTGAGGTCCAATTTAAGTAAATACTTAAATATTTGATCTTTCAATAAGTAAATATAAGCTAGTCTGTATACCGCGTTGTTAACAATAATATACTATGAAGTTCTGATGAGTTTACCTTGAGGCGACCATCGTTAAGGGCAGGAATATCTTTGTTAGGGCTTTTGAAGTGGAGATTTCCAGGAATAACACCACTTTCCATAGCGATCACCATTTTGGCTAGAGAGCAAAGTCCAGAAGCAGGCTCGGAGTGCCCCATGTTTGACTTAACTGAACCAATCAACAGAGGATTGGATCGGTTCTTGCAGAAGAAATCTGCTATGGAGTTAACTTCTTGTGGATCTCCCACCTGCAAACCAAACAAAAAATTAGTCCGAGTTTTTTAATTATATTTTTAAATAAATTAAATACCTTGGTGCCAGTACCGTGAGCTTCGACGTAGACTACGTCTTGAGGACTGATACCGATGTCCTCGTATGTTTCTCTGATGAGTCGGTTTTGCATGGCACCCGATGGGAAAGTGATACCTTGTTCTTTGTTACCGTCAGTGTTCGTTTTGGCTCCTAAAACGGAGGCGTATACTCTTCTAGCTGCACTGGCTTTCTGGAGGAACACTACAACGGCTGCTTCGGATCGTACATAACCGTTTCCCGAAGCATCGAAAGCTTTGCACATTCCATGAGGCGATAACATGCTCAATCTGAAATGAAATGGAAGATTTGTCTATTATAAAAGCTACTGATAAGTTCTGAAAGTACTACCGTTTGTTGCATGCATAAATTAAAAAAATTGCACCAGGAGGCACGTATAGCTACTAAAATATGTTAATAAAAAGTTGGTAGGCAGTTCTTTTAGTTTCAAAGTAAAGGAATTTTTCCAATTTTTTTTTATCTCAAAAACTGCGACTTTGACCGATTTTGATGTTATTACAAATTTTGTTGGAAATATTCCTAATCTTAATTTGAAAACCGCGTTTTGCTAGCTACTGTAATTTTGGAGTTACGATTTTTTAAAATTTTTAACCCCCTCCCATACCCCCTTACCAACCCTCCACCCCCACCAAAAACTAAAGGCCAGATTCTCGGGTGAAACAGTATTTTTGTACCAAATTTGTTTAAAATCGGTTTAGCGGTGTTTGAGTTATATATACAGGGTGGTCCGAACTCTATTCCGGAAACTTCGGCAGCGTATTCTGCAGATAAAAATAAGTAAAAAAGTTCATATAAATGTATGTCCTAAAATGTTTAGTTTCGGAAATACAGGGTGTAGAAGTTTCATTTTTATTTCGAATTTTTCCAAATAATTTATGAAGTAACGTCAATATTTGGATGAAAATTGGTGTCTGAGTTTTTTGACATGAGAAATTTTATTCTGATATCAATAGGACTCCTATTTGTAGGGGGCGCCACCTACATGTGTTTTAACTGATTTGAAGAGTAATAACTTTTCGTCCGTAACTGTATAAAACTACTGAGTCAAAAAATATACATTTTCGTGATTTCCTACGTAAAAAATGTCTCTTGGTAAAAATCGCTACGATCAACCGTTCTCAAGATATTTAGAATGGAAATAGTCGATACATGGCATTATTAACAAAAAATAAACTGGTTGTGTAGATAGTTATTTGACTGAAATAATAAATTTGGGAAATTTTAATTTTTTTAAATTAATCATAAATTTTTCTGCGGAAAAATGATGATAAAACAGTTTCTGTTGAACTTTTTCGTTACAAAAAACCTTTTAAATTTCTGATTTCAGTCTAATAACTATTTAGTTATCATGTTTAATTTATCAATGGTGACAGGTATTGATAATTTCGATCAAAATATCTCGAGAACCATTACTCGTAGCGATTTTTACCAAGAGACCTTTTTTACGTAAAAAACGTCGCGAATGTATATTTTTTTACTCAGTAGTTTAATACAGGTACGGACGAAAACTTATTACTCTTCAAAACAGTTAAAACACATGTAGGTGGCGCCCCCTACAAATAGGAGTCATATTGACATCCAAATCAAATTTCTCATGTCAAAAAACTCCCAGACATTAATTTTCAATCCAATATTGACGTTACTTTAGAAATTATTTGGAAAAAATCGAAATAAAAATGAAACTTCTATACCCTGTATCTCAGAAACTAAGCATTTTAGGACATACATTTTTACGAACTTTTTTACTTATTTTTATCTGCAGAATATGCTGCCGAAGTTTCCGGAATACAGTTGGGACCACCCTGTATACCTGTTGGTATGGTCGGCTAAAAAAAACGACAAATTACAGTTCCCCATTTTATTTCATAGAAATGGGGTAACAACAAAACGGCGATGCAACAGACGGTATATACAGGGTAGCTCATTAGTGCGAGAAAATCCAATATGAAAAACTTTTATACAGATATTGTTTTAAACAGGGTGTCGCGAAAAAAGTTATGATGAAATTTTAAGTTTTTTAAAATTGCACGCCCTTTTTCTGTACAGATTTGGATTCAGCATAAAATTCTGCATATGTTATGCTATATTTAATTCCAGCACTATGCGGTGTTGCCGTTCTATTTCATATTTACTGAAATTTCGGTTAAAAAACTATATCCGAAAACTTTGGTTTAAATCTAGGGTGAATTCAATTTTAGTAATACTTAGCTGTATTTTCTTAAACATCAAGGATAACAGAATAAACCTGCATTATTTTATACAGGGTATTTTTTATGGCGTTGCCAACATCGCAACATTTAACAAACTATATCTCAATTTTTTTACAAGCAATACTCCGTATATTATTTTTCTTTAGAATTAATTAAAAATAGAGAATTAAAAATGATTTCTTTTTATATTTAAAGTATTTTGAAATTTTTACCGGTTTCGCAGATATTCGCCGTATTATAATTACCTACGGTTTTTTCAGCAGTAAATTTTTATCATATGTATTATAATACAGGAAATATCTGCAAAACCGCTAAATATTTAGGAAAGCTTTAAATACGAAAAATATTAATTTTTTAATTCTGAATCTGAATGAAAAATAATATACAGGTTGTTGTATTTAAAGAAATAGAGATAAACCATTTTTTTAATTATTGTGATATGGGCGACGCCATAAAAATACCCTGTATAGGATAATGTAAAGTTTCCTTTGTAGGTTTATTCTGTTATCCTAGCTGTTTAGAAAAATATAGCTAAGCATTAAGAAAGTTATATTCACTCCAGTTTTTAACCACTTTTCGGATATAGTGTTTTTAATTAAAATTTTAGTAAATAAGAAACAGAATAGCAACACCGCATAGTGCTGCAAATAAAAATAGTGTACTACATATATGCAGAATTTTATGCTGAATCCAATTATGTATCACTCACTCTGTATAAAACAAAATATTTTTAGGAGATGCACCATTATATTATGTATAAAACTTTTTTTCATATCTTTGTCAACAATGACAATATAGAACTGCACTAATGGGCCATCTTGTATATACAGGGTCGCTGTTATGTATGGAAACGTTCGATTATTAGATAAAATATAGGAGGTACCACAAAAAGTTATAGGGTTTATAAATATCTATTAGCGGGTAATAAATTTAAGTATACAAGATCGGTCATAAAGTTGTGGCACATCAAAGTTTCATTTTTTCAATGGAAACCCCTGTATTTTATTGCATATTTTGGTTCTTCTTTGAATTCTAAGCAAAAATCGAAATACACACAATGTGTCTCAAACCAACCGTTTCCGCGTTATTGACTTTTGAAAATATCACTTAAACAATTTGATTTAATTAATGTCGATATGTTCAGTTTAATTTAACGATGCCATTCTGCCAAAACTGTGATACTTAATAATATTTGACATTAGTACTCAAGTTAGCATTTGTAGATGTATAAAATGAGAGTATATTATATCACTGGAAATTACAAAATTTTCGTTTAACATTTCAATTCTTCAATTTATGTACATCGTGTATTACGATTGTTGCTTAAAATTGAAGGAACAATTGAAATATGCAATAATATACAGGAGGTTTCATAAAAAAAAAATAAAGTTTGATGTGACACATAGATGTGACACAACTTTATGACCGACCCTGTATTCTGTATACTTAAATTTACTAGTAGCTAATAGGAATTTAAAAATCCATTACAACAGTATGACATTTTCGGCAGAATGGCATCATTAAATCAAACCAAACACATCGAAATGAATTAAATCGAATTGTTTAAGTGATATTTTCAAAAGTCAATCTTTGAGGTACATTGTGTGTATTTCGATATTTGCTTAGAATTGAAGGAAGAATTGAAATATGTAATAATATACAGGGGGTTATATGTAAAAAAACGAAACTTGATGTGCCACGACTTTATGAACGACCCTGTATACTTAACTTTACTACTCGCTAATAGATATTTAAAAATCCTGTAACTTTTGTATTTAACGTTTTGCGGTACCTCCTATATTTTACCTAATAATCGACCGTTTCCATACATAAAAGCGACCTTTATAGTTCAGTTTCTTAGTTTGATACATACCTGTGAAACTGTAGAGACGATGTAGGTTTGAGTAAAAGGTTCACTCCACCCACTATGGCAGAATCACACTGTCCAGTCTGGATGGCATTGACAGCTTGCTGAAAGGCGAACAACGAACTCGAGCAAGCGGTATCTATAGCATAACTCGGTCCCTTCAAATCGAAAGTATACGAAATCCTGTTGGGAAACATAGCCCTACAACACCCTGTCAGTCCGTATCCCGTAATAGTTTCTTGGTCTTGCGCAGTCCAGTACTCGCTGGACTCGGAATCTGACACTCCAATAAACACTCCGGTCCTTGAGCCTCTGACGTCGTTGGGGTTGAAACCTGCATCGACTATAGCTTCGTGGGTGAGTTCGAGCAGCATCCTGAGCTGGGGGTCCATAACGTGGGCTTGTTTGGCGTGGACTCCGAAGAAGGTGGCATCGAACCGGCTCAGGTCTTTGAGTTTGCCGGTTCTGGTGGGTAGGCCGTAGAGTCCTGAGGGCCATCTGCGCTCGTCGTCTGTGACTAAGTCGACGCCTTCGAAGAGCTGTTGCTTGAACTCTTCGATGGAGCTGCTTTCGGGCAGACGACCGGAGATACCGGTGATGACGACGTCATCGTTGAGGGGGACGCCGTTCTGTACGTGCGTGTCGGCTCTAGCGGGCATTTTCGTTACTTATTTTCTGAAACAAAAATAAAATCAAATGAAATAAAGGTCTATCTATGAACTGTTTTAATAGTATGTAATAAAGTTTCTTTAAATGTGGTAGATAATGATTCATTATAGATACTGAATGAATTTCTATCTTTCATAATATTTATTGAAGATCACATCCTGTAAATCGGATGCTTCAAAATAAAACACTAATTCTCCACAATACACCAAGATACTTTACTTCGAAACGCGCGTTTAGTATTCAATAGTAAATCGTTTTGGTGTATTGTAGTGAATTCGTGTTTTATTTTGCTGTTTTAACACTAGTTCCAGTCCCAACTAGTAAGAATGCTTCAAGTTAAGTATTAGCTAATCTAACTCCTAAAACTATGCTTATATACTTGAGCAAGGCATTCATCTGTGACATAGCTGGGTGCAATAAAGCATAAAATTGTCCTCTAAGGACACAAGCATTGGTACCTTCATTCTATAAGCCATAAACAACAAGTCTTAAACGTTTTTTATGAGGTCTTTCTCTTATTTCGATGTTCCGGTGTTCTTTTTGTTAAGACGCGTTTTAGAGTAATTCCAAATTTATGTCGCAGGAATTAAAAAAAGTACCATTGCTGGCATTCTCAGCGGACAACTTCATGTTTTCAAGATAATGAAAATTGAAAGATTTAAAAGAGAAAAGAGAAAACCTATATAACGAAAGTAGACAAATGAGGTAAATAATAGCATTTTTTTGTCATGTCAATAGTAAATAATACTTTTTGCTGTCATTTTGAAGGGAATATTAGCGATCATTTTTTTTTTGGTTAAACTATTGTTCAATTTTAACAATTTACTTTTGTGTTTTGAGGTCATGTGCCTATATTTATAAGCACGTCACGCAAACAAAGTCAAAAACCATATGAATACTAAAAATTATTTAAATTATAGACATACGATGTCCGCCAAAAGGTTTTGAACAAATAGGCTAAAACAATCTCTATAATACCGTATGATCGGATAATAACACCCTCCAGTTGTGTGTGCTTTGAAATGACGTTCGATGACATTTCTCGTATAATTTTACATAAAAAGTGACAAGGATATTAATTTTAGAGCTATCTCTGACGCCGTTTTTTTGCACACGTATGGTATTATGGCGTTTTTATTTTGCTTTCAATCTTACTTGATTTTTACTGGAGTCTTCCGGGAATATCGCCCTTAGTATATATGTATGTTTATGTAAATAAACCACTGGATTGATATTAGAGATACAAATTTCTGTTTTTTTTACATACACACATTTATCTATAAAGGTCTATACCAAAGAAATCAAATTTAAATCTTCTAGTGAATCGTTAAGTATTTTTATTGGTTAATGGTTAGGTAAACTTGTTTTTGATACCCATAGGAATCTGTCTCGATGGATTCTAAACCAAGTGGCTTGATGTTATGCATTTTGTCACAAAATACAATTTCAATCATCACATGATATTTGAGTTTTAGAGGTTTATGAATTATTTCATTAAAAACAAACAATTTTATTAATTAGTAATAATTAAATAACAATAAAAAATGTTTATACCTCTGTGGCGGATTCATCTCTCCAAAAAATAACAATAGTATTACAAAATTCTCTAAATAAAAATAGTACTACAAAGCCGCAGTTGCATAGCTTAAACAATAGTCATCAAGAAAAAATATTTTCAAACTGCTAAAAATGTTCATAAATAAAGAAATATTTGTCTATTTTAATACTTTTTTCCACTGAAATCTGCAGTTTATTTTTTATTAATATATTTTTTCCACTACTTAATATAATAAGATTCGCAAATATATTGCCTGGTCTAATACAAGGTACAAACCAAAGCTGTTACAATATTTTAAGCTTATCTAAAGACAGACAATATTGTTCATCAATAAATAATGTCTAACAGTAATATTGACTTCATTACCCGTTTATGAACTGTCAACTCCCTCATAAATGTTTGATATCCATATAAAAAAACAGTAGAAAATAGTTTAATAATTTAGCTACAAATTGCTTAAAGATAATCAAAATCGGTCCACTATACAGGGTGGTACAAGCTACAAATTCGAGGTACGAGCATTGGTATCTCGGAAACCGTAATAGATACGAAGATAGTTAAATTGGGGCAAAGTTGCGCCTTGAGATGTTCACCAAGATGCCATCAAAAAAGTTTTAAAAATTTCAAGGATTGCTGAATTTTTTGGAAAAACGGATTTTTTGGAAAATCAATTTTGTTTTTTTCTGTCGTTACTTTTTAGAAAATCAGAAAACTAATTACACATTCTCATAGCCACTTTATTAGGGCTATCTGATAGTACTTTAAGATTTTCAAATTAGCTGATAATTTGTGAGATACAGAGGTTAACTTAACTTTTTTAAATACGGACCTGCATTTTTTATTTCAGATTTTGAAAGAACTCGCTCTCCTGAGTATAATGATATGCCACACTTAATTTTTTTTTTTGTTTTGGAAATTTGCACACAATTTATTTAAACTAATTTCAAGTCCGGCTCTGTTTTTTTTTAATATTTAATATATTCATCGTTGCAATATTGATAAGCTTTCAAAGTTAACAGTGACGTGGGTTGAATACGGAAAATCAAATGCAATAAAATAATATAAATAAAATGTAATATAAACAATCAAATCATTTCCCCCGTTCCTCGGAAGATGGTAGAGCCGTATAATGGCCAGCGAGGTTCCTGGACCGTCTGATGACATCAAGTAATTCGACAGGTCCAAATTTTACAAAAAAGTGAAATCAACACATCTAGGCAGTTACAATAAAGAGTACAAAATGCATTCGAAAGTATAAGAAGAAGATCTATTCAAAAGTTAATAATAAATATAAATAAAATCGAACGAAAAATAAATTTGTGCAATAGGGAGGGTGGTTACCTTTTTGAACATGTAGACTATGTAGAGTATTAGAAACTAGTTTGTAGAAGTTAAATTAATCATAATAACTACGATGAATATTATGCAAATTATTAGATCGTACACTAAGAATTTCAAATTCACAATAAGAAAAGTTAAAAATAATATCTTTAAATTGTCGATCTGGATATTATTTATTTGAATCTTTCAATTGGCTCAATTTTCCTTATTCAATGTTAATTAGCACTGATCAATATTGTTGGGATGAATATAATCGGACTAAATAATTTAAAAAACAGAGTTGGACTGGATTTTTTTTTAAATAATAATTAAATAGTTTTGTTGTACCCAAAACAGCAATAAAGTATAAAGTGTGGCATATAATTGTACTCAGGAGACTGAGTTCTTTCAAAATCTGAAATAAAAAATGCAGGTCTGTATTTAAAAAAATTAAGTTTGCCTCTGTATCTCACAAATTATCAGCTAATTTCAAAATTTAAAAATACTTTCAGATAGCCTTAATAAAGTGACTATGAGAATGTGCAATTAGTTTTTCGATTTTGTAAAAAGTAACGACAGGAAAAAATAAAATTAGTTTTCAAAAAAATCCGTTTTTTTCAAAAAACTCAGCAATCCTTGAAATTTTTAAAACTTTTTTGATGGCATCTTGGTGAACAGCCCTAGGCGCAACTTTGCCCCAATTTAACCATCTTTGTATCTATTACGCTTTCCGAGATACCAATGCCCGTACCTCGAATTTGTAGCACCCTGTATTGTGTACCTTCTAATCTCTAACAAACATTTTTTTTTGTAGTAAAACTAGGTTATGATACTTTTAACTATTTCAATCATTGTTGATGGCTCCATATATGTAGTAGTTTATCTAAAGGCCGAAGTTATACGTATAAAACAGATATCTATTTACAATTGATAAAGATTCACGGTATTCAATGAAGTGTGATAATTTACCTATATTTTGTGACGTAGATTATTATATCACTGACGAATGATTTCACGCTATAACCGAAACGAATAGTTATCTATTTCGTACTAAGGAAATTACCAGACGAAAATCTAAAATAGCTAACAAAAGGAGTCTGTTTAAACTCTATTATGGTATTGTTAGTGCTAATAATGTTCTAAAATGCGTATCGCAGAAGAGTAAACGTACTCACTATGTTCTTGTTTCTTTTTTAAAACGCTCTTAACATTGAACTTAATATGTTTTTAAAAATAGTAACGGCATATCTATACCTACAAAAAATGGTTGTGTCTTTTCAAAAGATCTTTTCATTTTAAAGGGCATATTTGGAGTTCTACTTCGAAAAACAGCTACAATCATTTCTCTCATGTTGTCGACAATAATTGGTCAAGTTTTGTAAAAACTATCTTTAACATATCCCTATAAAAAATCCCAGACTAGATAAAATCAGGAGCATTTAAGTATTCTATTAATTGGTGAATGCACACTGCATTCACCAACTAATAGAATCAAATCGATTCTCTCTGATGTAGGATAAGTTTCCATTTTCGGCAAATTTCTGAGAATTTTTTTGTTTTAACTGGCACAAAATGATAACTATAAATAGTTGTTAAAGTGGGACTAATTAGACAGTTATGGTGGAGTAACGTCAGACATATCACAGCCACCTAGATTTTATCCAATAATAAAAATCTATTGACACTAAGTCATATAAATGAAAATATCTAGGAAAATCTCTGTTTGAGGGGTAGGCAACCTTAATAGTATTTTGAAGAGATATAAATTCCCCATTGAATATCGGAATAATATACTGGATGTTCCGTTTAAAATAAAAGAGCAAAAAAAATATTTTTTTTTAAATTTTCAGAATAAAATAACTCGGTTATTTTGGATTTATTTGAAAAACGGTAAAAAGAAAATATCGTCGTCGGTGAAACGTGATAAACTGCTAAGTCCATTATTCCTAATTTTACAGGAGAGCAAAAAAACGGTACAAAAAAATATGTACACATGTAGGAAGTATTTTGATGCGTTAATATGATAAAGAGATAAGAATTTTATTTGCTGGGGAACAATAAAACTCTATATTTCGTGTTACGTCATTTTTTTCCGACACAATAGGGAGATAGCAGATATTCGTCTTGG